TTTTTTTTCTTTAGAGTATTTAAAAAAAGAGTAAAACAAATAGTTAAATAAACGTTAAGTTTCAAATATAGATCATAAATGGTTTTATATATTATAAGCAAATACAAATTAAAAATTAAATAAATACTTGTTCAAATTATATAAGATATATGTACAATTTAAATTACTTAAGAATAGTTACAATAATTAAGATTAAAATATGCCTTAATAATCTACATAAAAAAGATATATAAATTTAAAATTACATGTATCATTATTCTTAAATAAAAGATTACGGACAAAAATGGTAGCAGAAGCCCCACTTAAAAAACAGAGTTATGGAGCAATAAAGGCACACTATTTTGTTTACAAAAAAAAAAAAAAAAAGGCACACTATTTTAAAATTGAAACTTTTTGTTTTCCCTATTAAAACGAGACTACGAAGCCAAACTCTTTCATTTCTTTTTTTGAATAAATCTTCGGTGGATTAGATGTATCTAACTGGATACATTTGTTTTTTTCATATTTAGAAAATATTTTACTACTTTTTTAAAAAAAATCTCCCACATTGAAATTTTTTCTCTTTTTGGAAAAAAATGTACCAAATTGGGTATGCACCAAAGATCTGTTTCTTTTTAAAAATAAAAAATAAAAAAATACTGTGGCCACACATTTTGCTTTTAACCAAAGTGGCTTTGGCCAAAAACTTTCAAATTCAGAAAGAGAAATCATTCTTTCTAAAGTCTTGACGTAACAATTTCCAGCATTATTCTGTGTGCTGAGGGTATCAAGGTAACTTGAGGTGACAAGAGTTATTATTGATTATCTAATATTGAATAAATAATTAAAATTAAAATTAAAAATTATTTAAAGGTAATGTAAAAGTTATATTATTTTGACTTTTAATTTTAACTATTTATAAATAATTTAATCATTATAATTTGTTAATCTTATTGTACAATAATAACTCATATTACGTGATATATATTTTTTAGAAACATTTTATTAAATATAAATTTTAATAATATAAGTTTCAAATTATAGTTATTTCTAATTCAAATAATTAAAATATGACATCAACTTACTTTAAAAATTTAAATCTGTTTTTTTCTTAAAAAATATATTATAAAAATAAAATATGTTCAAAATTGAAAAAAAAAATTAAGTCAAGCTAAGAGTATTATTAAGTAATTAGACAATGTAATTTAGGTAAATATTTATTATGATATTATTTTGTACGTTATTTTTAAGCCCACTAGTCTGTGTTTGTATATTGTATTTGTTAAGATATTCCTATCAACTTTAATGGCTTCTGATTTCTGAACCTCCAACCACAATGTTCTGTTCATCAGGAATAACACACCTCCATGCCCTCGTACATGTAACATGTACATCACATGGGATATTTAAGATTCCTTTCACTATTTTAAATAAAAATTAAAGAAGAAAATATTAAAGGTATTGGGTATGGCTCATACTTCGCATATTGATGAGGACTCTTGACTCTTGACTCTTGTTGTCGGGGTCAACAGAAAGGCAACTGGGGTTTCACTCCGAGGTAAGCGGGCGGGGGTCCGGGAGATAGCGCTCTTAGGCCCATAGAGGCTAGGTACTATTGTGGGCCTCTGATTTATTGTAAAAGGTTTTTTTCTAATCCTATTTATATTCTCTTTGTAAATCGAGTAACTTGTCACGAGTGGTGATGAGGTAAATATAATACAGACAAACTGAATGTAACCTAAATTAAATAAATCAAAGAAAATCACTGTATTTATTCTCTCTTTCTATTTTCGTTTGTGATTCATGTGATTCTCAATTTCCAACAAAATCACACCGATCTGTGAGTAATATATATTAAGCTGAATATAGCAAAACGTTATTTACGAAACTTCAAAAATCTAACGAGGCATGCATGTTACATCAAACCTCAAATCAGTTTTTACTTTTATCACTTATATATATATATTAAGCTGAATATAGCAAAACGTTATTTACGAAACTTCAAAAATCTAACGAGGCATGCATGTTACATCAAACCTCAAATCAGTTTATATATATATATATATATATATATATATATATATATATATATATTATATTACTCTCTTTTCACGTAAGGTAACTTATCTCATTTTCTTTCACTTCGATTTTCGCACCCTACTTTTTTCTTCTTTTTCTTTTTTCTTATAATTGTGGGACCCACTCATTTTCTCTCTATCACATAAGATAACTACCTTATGTGGAAGGAGATTAATAAAACCCTATATATATATATATAGTGTTTGTCATTTAAGAGGATGATGTTTTTAGATGAATGTAGTGTGTTTTTTAAATTTTAAATTTTTTCCTCCACTTTTTCTCTCCCATAATTTGTTCTTTTATCTCTTTTAAAAGGATATAAGTGTGTGTCCTTTAAAAGGACACACACTTTTTCATATATATATATATATATATTTAATATAAAGGTATTCCCAGCCATAGTTAAAAATTAATTATCTCAAGGTATAAAAATTATCGAAGTAAATTTTATCTTTATTAACAAAGTTCTTTTTCGTATATACGGTTAGGAATCAAAACCTGTCAATATTATTAAACAACAACTACTATGTATATTATTAATTTAAGGTGATTGATTATCATCCTAACTTTTTTTTCGTAATAATCAATTCGTAATCAATAGTGTTTTTCGAATAAATTAAAGGGTTTGTGTAAAGTTGTCCATCCAATCAATGTGAGACTATATATCTCAACAGTTTGTTTTTTCTAAAGTTACTTTAGATAACTTTATCTAATGTTCATCGAAACGACGTCATTTTGTGACGGAAATCATGGTATTTTTGTAATTTTAATTTATTTCAGAGTTATAATAGTCTTAATTATTCTAATTTTTTAATTTTTTAACCCCAAAATGACGTCGTTTCAATGAACATTAGATAAAGTTGTCTAAAGTAACATAAGAAATTTTTTCCCCTAAATTAAATTAATAATGACAATACAAAGCATTCCTGACAAACTTGAAAGCATATAATATGTGTGTGTGATTATTTTTAAAATCATTATTTCTTTCTCTAATCACCATATATCTATAAGCATCTTTTTTTCGGAATTGTTTTTATCAAAAAGATTGTGTAAAATAGCATTATAATAATAAAAAAGGGCAAAATATGTAATATTAATTTAGATAATTTTGTTTAAAGTTCACCAAAATGATATCGTTTTAGGATTGAAAAATAAAAAAATAGAATAATAAAAATTTGTATAACCTTGAAATAAATTAAAATTATAAATATACTATGATTTCTGCCCAAAACGACGTCGTTTCAGTGAATATTAGACAAAATTATCTAAAGTAACTTTACAAAAAAACAAAACCTAAAAAAAGTTAGGTTTCAATCAACTAAAAAAATTACGTTTCCGTCGGATGATGAAAAGTTATACAAAATTTTTAACTTTTTTTAATTAAATTTTTTATCGATATTTAATAGTCAGGCCAATTATTCCAAAGGTCATACAAAAATATTACCTGACGAAGCATTTATTGTTTTTTAATAAATATTATATTTATGATTATACTCAGTGAAATGAGGTTAATTGCAATGTAGGGCTATCCTATTCCCAATAACATTAAAAGTTGGTGGTAAAGTTCTTACCTACTTAAAAAAATTTCACTTAAATGAACATATTTTATCTTTATTAAAATCTGAATAAACAGCAAATATTTTGTTTAGTTACAGGTCACCAGAGTCGGTGGGATGTGCAGCTAATATGTGTTGGATGCAAAGCGGCATTTGGTTGTTCATGTGTCAACAATTAGCCACGTGAACATGAACTTCTAATATTGACAATTCAAAACCTTGTTTTTGCCTTATAAATTAAAAACAATAATAATAATTATTATTATATGTCATGTTTTAATTAGTATTACTCTAGGGCCAAAGTTCCTTAGTTTTTTTATATCGAAAGATTACTGTATTCTTTATAGTGGAATAAATTGCTGAACAAAATTTCTTTAACATTGGGATGAATCCATGCCATTACGAGAATGTCGAATGCCATAAGTTTCGTCTTTTTCTGAAATTTGCTTGCTATGTATGGTTTTCTGTTCCATTATCTGATTCTGAAATCTACTGTCACAAGTTGTAGTAGGACTTCTCTGCAGAGAAAATGGTTAAAGTTATATTGTAGGGAAAAAAAATTATTTATTGCAATTTAATTAAATAATTATGCATTTATTACAGTTTGGGAAGTATTTACAGATCTATTGCACAATGTGACGCCCCATTGAGGCGTCTCTCATGAAGGAGAAGACGCCTCAATGGAGCGTCACATGTGACGCCCAAAAGGGGCGTCACATTGTACAATAGTATAAATACTCCCACTTTCCTTTTCACTCCTCACTCATTCACCACTCTCTAACCACGGTTCGTAGCGAAGCTCTGCTGACTTAGGTAAGCTCGTAATACCTCCAATGTATACGTTTAAATTACGGTGCTAGTTAGCAATACATGTTGTTAGGATTGATCGTATATTAGAGACTTAGAACATTAGGATAGTCACTTATAAATCTTGTGCAATGCTATGAATGTTGTAATGATACTTCTATTTTTATGTTTCGTAGTTAGTATTATTAATATTTAATTATGCATTAAGATCTAGCGTATTAATTAGTTAATTGGAAAATAGTGATAGCGACTTTGTAAATTTTGTATGTATGATGTTATTAATGTGGGAGATGCGTCATAATTAGTACATATTTATGAAGTTATTAGTGACCTAAGGTTAAGTTTTCAGTAAGTATAACATTAATTTTGTCCAATGTTTTTTTTATTATTTAATTACAAATAAATGACTGTACTACGTATTAACATTATCATATTAATTTCGAATCTAGTAAGTTAAATGACGCATATGCTTAAATTTTTTGATAATAAATTATGGCATTGCTAAATTAATTTGTAAATAAAATGGGGCATTACATGTGATTAATTTAAATGTTGTTTTATATTATATAGTTGAGGGTAATGACTGAGTTATCATCTTCATCGGGTTCTGCATCGGATGTAGAGCCTACCGATCCCAGCATGTACATCATACCTGGGCCGTACAGATGGGAGGTCCTTCGTAAGAGGACGCAGCGTGCTCATATTTCACAGCGAGTGTGGAATACGGAGCATGTCAGAAAAATAAAGACCAGGTGTGGGAAGCCATCTGGGGGGCCACCTACCGGCGTTATCCCAGAGGTAGTCGCAGACTACCTGACACAGGTTGGATTCATACATGTTGCCCGGATGTGACATATTCAGGTATGCAATTTACGTTGTTTTGTATTTATGTAATTATTCAATACCATAAATTAACATGCTCTAAATGCATATTTTATCACAGATCGATGCCCCTTTAATTAGTGCTCTGGTGGAGAGGTGGAGACCAGAGACACATATTTTCCACATGACACAAGGTGAGATGATTATCACCTTGCAAGATGTGGCAGGCATATTGGGCTTGCCTACTGACGGGGACGTCGTCACCGGATCCACCTCTGAGGATTTGCCCGCTGCTTGTGGGGCTGTATTTGGGGCGGTTCCACAGCCAAATGAGTTCCATAATTCAGGCGACTTGCGTATCTCATACATAGATCGGTTATATACTCGGTGGACTGATCATTCTGGGGATCATGATGTCGAGATCTATTTCATAAAGGAGCACATTGCCAGGATGTTGGGTTCTTGGTTGCTGGCGGACAAGTCTGGAGGCAGCAATTTCGGTTGTCGGCTAGTCCCGATGCTTGGGGAGGATTTCATGATATTTGCCAATACAGCTGGGGATCTGCGGTTCTGTCACACCTTTTCAGGAATTTGTGTGAATTGACAGATGTCGGTCGATCTGACATGGGTGGTTGACATATTCTCCTTCAGATCTGGGCATGGATAAGATTCCCACCCATTGCTCCGCCGCTTCCTCCTCATCCAGAGCCGGACACGCATTATGGATGCCGGTATGCTTAGTTAAACATATTAAATTTCGCTAATGATTTATCATATATACTATCTGTATACTTCTTGATTATGATTCCTGATGTATGTTTCTGATGACAAGTTTAATACAGTGGCAAAGTTTAAACCTCATGAGGTCACTCATTATCGGGCTACATTGGATACACTTTGTAGAGATGAGGTAAGATGGTCCTTACTTAGTTTGTTGTATATTAATTTGTAACTCCTTATATTCAAATTTCATTTTATGTGTAGGTGGTCTGGCAACCATATATCAATTATCAGTGGCTGGACGTGACTGACCACCAGCAGTACCTCTGGCTTGCTATCAGTCCCCTTATTTACTTCCACACCGTAGAGGCATGTCAGCCGGATAGGTGCATGCGGCAGTTTGGACTGGATCAACCCATCCCGGATCCGAGCAGAAAGTTGAGAGGGATACATGATCATACTCAACGGGGGAAGGTTAAAGAGAATTGAAGGCGTAAGCTAAGTCCGTGGATTGCGAGATGGCAGGCCAGACACCATCATATTGTTGTGCCCCCTCTATTGCTAGGGTTGATGTCACCTAATCATGCGTACTTGGAGTGGTACAGAGCCAGGGGAAAGAGATACATCTCTCGGAGGGCAGCAAAGTTGGGACGAATTGTGAGTTTGTAAAATTTGTGCACACATTCATATTTAAACTTAAATTATGACATTGCTAACACATTTTGTTATACAGATTGACGGTTTACAGATGTTGTATCATGCCATATCTGCGGAGGAGTTTTCTCGAGTCGGCATTGAGTATATTCATGAGGAGATTGGCAAGCTTATTGGTATCTTTCGTGAGAATTCACGAGTTGATGAGCCTGGACCGAAGGCACCACCAGTCCAGACACAGCCAGATCCGCAGTTGTCCCTGGATGTTCCCCGTAACCGAATTGAGGGACGTGGATTAGGACGTACCTGTGAGCGAGTTGCTGCTGCCCCTGTCCCGATTATGGCACTGAGACCAGTGGTCGAGACGCAGGGATGGTTCAGACCACCAGTCATTGGGACTACATACGAGTCACAACCGATGTATCATCCCGGATCGCAGTATGAGGCAGGTCCTAGTCAGGCGGCGTCTAAGCATCCATACATGGACACATAGGAGCCAGTTTTTCAGGCTAGTCCCATGGCTATGGCAGGGGCGGATGCGACATCCTCGCAGGCTGAGTTCCAGGAGTATTCACAGGGACTTGATGCTGATGTTCCCCATTGGTCTGAGCAAGATACCGAGGAGATGTATCGCACCCTAGGCCTTGTCACAGAGAGCCATGACAGTGGGGAGACTCTAGCAACTGATTCCCACAGTCATGGATACACGTCATTTGAGGTGTATGGCAGTAGTGCAGGATATGTTTATCCACATTATCCAGGCCATTCTTCAGATATTGGGGGCAGGGACCAGCAGATGATTTCATGCGTGCGGCGATGGATGACTTCCAGACTCCACCACCACAGGCACCTCAGGGAGACCCAGTTTGGGACAGACGTATACTTCCAGATAGGGATGCACGACATAGGCCATGGCCACCTTGGTCGTAGTTTCATTGCCATTTAAGGCATTTTTTGTATTAGGGTTTAGACTTTATCATATTATATTATTTTGTGGACGGTACATTATTATATTATTTGGACTACTTACTATGCTTTAGTATTTATTTGGACTGTACATTTATGTTGGCATTTATGTTATGGTAAATGATCAAGACAGTTAATAGCTTGAGAATAAAAACATACATAATGGAAAGGATAAACTCCAACATAATGGACATTACAATTCAAGCAATAAAATAACCAATAACAGAAATAAATTACTAAGTATCTCAGTCGTTTCTCCCACGATTTGGACAACCTCGACGATTATGGCCGCGTTCCTTGCAAAGTCCACACCTGATACGGCTTTGACTTGTCTCAACTTCGTCCATCTCGTTGCGGATGCGAGTTGACTTTGGACGACCTTTTGCACGCAACATAGTGGCATCGAGAATAATCTTTGGACCATTAATTTCAGGTATTGCTTCCTCGTTTCCGATTGGCTCCCACGGAAACGAATAAGCCTCGACCAAGTTAGTAGCCAAGAAGACATCGTCTACGTACGTGAACGCACTCTGCCTAACAATTAAGGCAGCAGCAACGACGTGATTACACGGATACTTAAAGGCCTTAAACTTTCCACACTGACAGAATCTCTGTGGGAGATTGATAGAATATGAACGCTCCCAACCTGCGTCAACCTCGAAGACAGTATGTTCCACATTGTATGCACGAACGTGATGGCCTGTTGCATCTACCTGGTTCTTCTTGACCAATTCAACAATTTTTGCAGTGACGGTGAGCTGATTCAAGTTGTGCAACGACATTTGTTCCTCTCTCAACAAAATAATGAACCAACCTGCTATATGTATGCTTAACCAATGCAGTTATAGGCATATTTCTGGCCCCCTTCAAGACCCTATTGATAGATTCTGCCAAATTTGTTGTCATATGACCGTACCTCCGTCCTTCAATATCGTAGGCTCGCGACCACTTTTCCTTAGGAATCGCATCAATCCACTCAGCAATTTGAGGACTACTTTCACGGAAGCTCGCAAGATTCCTTTCAAAATCAACCATGGCCAGAGTATAACCTGCACATAATGGACATCCACGAATTAAACATAAATTGATAAACATAATGGAATGACATAAATATGCATTGTGTCAATGAGTATACCTAAATTCTTTAACATCCGCTTCAAACCTTCATTCCGAAACTTTTGATTGAAGTTGCTTGCAATATGACGAATACAAAATACGTGATATGCATTTGGTGGCTGCCAATTAGGATTATTCTCCACAACATATGTTTGACATGTCAGTAACATGAGCACGAATATTAACAAGAAAATAGTTCCATGCATCCAAGGTCTCGCCTCCAACGATGGCAAAAGCAATCGGTAAACATTCATCATTACCATCTTGGGCTGTGGCCACCAACAATTTGCCTTTGTACTTCCCATATGAATGTGTTCCATCAATTTGTATGACGGGTTTGGAAAATTTGAATGCCTCACAACACTATCTAAACGTCCGAAATATGCGATGAAACACCTTTTTTCCAGTAACTAAGCTCTGCTCTGCATAAAGATAATTTGTTTTGATATTATAAAATGAACCTGGAGAAAAGCGAAGCATGTATTCGCACCACCTTGGCAAAAAAGCATACGATTCCTCCCAATCACCGTACATAATTGCCATCGATTTCTGCTTCGCATACCACGCCTTTCTGTAAGAAACTTTAAGGCCATATTTAGAGGTTGTCCTTTCTTGCACCAAAGAGATTGACACAGATAGTTCTTCCTTTATCATTCCTGCATTGAAGAGGACCCATATATCGATAACATGGAACAAATTAATTACACAGCAGTACGTAAACGTTGACATGTCATTACAGTAAATAAATACGTACCTATGACGAGATCTGCAATAACGTCCGCATCGAGTTGTCTATGTCCCTGGGAAATGTGCTCATTCAAACAATTGTGATCTCCACCCCATCTCGTAATCTTCCAATTTTCACCAAACACTGGTTTCACAGCCCTAACGCGCCATGGGAAACCCTTATCATACGCACAACATTTCATGGATAACTTTGCAGGCGTGCTCTCAATTACAATTGCTTCTTGATGCTCCCTAATGAGAGGTGCTTAAGTGCCATTTGGACATCTTTTTTTTTGCAAATTCTTGATTGACAAATAACTTGTCACCTAGTTGCCACGGACCTTGTATCGAACCCGATCCTGAGACCGTACCATTAGTGCAAGATTCTTGTTCACTCCGATAACTCCAATCAATGTAGGAATAATGCGGAATTCCTTCCCAAAAAGGAATAACAGCTTCGTCACCTGCAACTGCGGATTGTAACTTTTTAATACAAACTTCCTAATTCAGGTATTAAATCAGGTATCTACTCAACTATATACACATTATTTCAATTACCTTCATGATGAATACCTAATGGGGCAGACGCAACGTCATGCAACTGCGGCATTTGCGCGACCAGTGGTTGATGGAATATTGGGATTTAAGACGCACCTATGTCGACACCTTCATCTCCTTCGGAAGCACTAGCATCCTCCACCAGAAGACGTTCTTCCATTGCGATATTTTCATCATCATCGTCGTCGTCGTCGTCGTGCATTTCCCAAGTCGGATCATTTTCATCTCCCTCAGAAATAGTTACCAACTGGAGACGCATGAGCGGCAGACAAAGATGGAAGACAGGGAGAATTTAAATCAACTGACCTCACCGGTAAGGGAACATTCTCGGTTGCGGTGATGTCGACATACAACTCCAGAAAATCTGTCTTTGACTGGTTGAAAAATTCTTCCATTGTCATCTCTAGGTCTTCATCGTCAACCACTTGCAAACTAATGTATTTATCACATTGCCATAACCTTGTCGTGATCTGAGTGATACATTGGTTGCCTTGAAGACTTAACTTCTGCCGAATTCTCTGATGCAGTTCGCCAATGGTTGCGTTGCGTTGGATACGTGTCGGCCTTTTTTCACTTTCAAACATGACACCTCGTCGACCTTCTACCTTCCTATCATTGTAATATAACACAACACGAACAGAATCAGGACGTAAGCTCATTCTTAAATAGTAGAAATAAAATTCAAATACTAAATTAAAGGGAATAAATATGAAGAGTGAGAGAAGAAGAGGTGTGAAGAGAGAGAAGAGGTGTAAAGAGTGAATGGGGGTGGGGGATTATATAAATAGATCTGTAAAAATTTTAAAAACTGTCATATTTGCGTAATTATTTAATTAAATTGTAATAAATAAATTTTTTTCCCCTATATTGTACTCTAAAATATTGTGTATCTTGATGTGTTAAAATTAAAGGAGGTTAATAGTAAAATACTTGAAGAATATATTTGTTAGTTTGAAAACTGTACATTTTTAAAAGAAATATTACGTAGATAATGTTACTGAATGATTTTAAATAATGAGCATAAACTCATTTTAGTGCAAGCTTGAAAAGTTTTAAAGTAAAAACTAGAGAGAGAAAAGAGAGTGCAAAAGCTAGAATAAAGTATAAAATAATAGAGAGAGAAGATAAAATAATGTATTATTAATTCAGAATAGGATCGACCTCCAGTGGTTTTCTCCATTTCAATTTGTGCCAAAAGATCATTTGATATTTTACCCAACTTTTACAAATTGTCTTATATCAAAAGAAAGACAAACGCTTTCCAAAATTCAACGATCCTACAAAAATGGAGTCAATTGCTTCGTGAAAATATCTTGCTCGTGAGAGAGTCCAAAGTAAAGACTTATTCTTGTTCAAATTTAGGTGGCTATAACGACTAATAGCCTGCTTGTTTTGCAGGTTTTAAAATTGATTTTGATATCAGAAATTTTTTAAAATTTTTTGATAAATAAAATCAACTCTAGATATAAAACTCATAATTTTTTTAAGAGTAAATACCATTTTTCGTCCCTGGAAATATTTGCGAAGCACAATTTAGTCCCTCGGTTTAAAAAAGTCACATTTCAGTGTTTCATCTTTGAAAAAAAGGGCCACGTTCGTCCTTCCGTTAGTTGGCATCTAACGGCCCAACTAACGGTGCACACGTGGACCATTACTTTGCTGAGTCACTGTTAAGTATGCCAGCTTGAAAGTAAAACGACGTCGTTTTGAAGGTGCCTTATGTCTTGTTGGAGTTTTGAACAGCTGAAGGTCCTATTTGGTCCCTGACAAATTTATCGAGGCCCTATTTGGTCCTTAACACTAAAAAATCACCATTGTAGCAAACCTTTCAAACCACCATTGCAGCAAACCAAGGCTTATGCTATTGGCAAGGCTTATGCTATTCGATCAGATTTCTCATTGGCCAAGCCTTATGCTCTGATTCAATAAAAAATGATGATGAAAAAATGAAACTAAAGTCGAATAGAGTATTTGGTGAAGGAGAACTGCATTTCATCGCAGGAAAATCACATTGACTCAAATTATTGTACTTTTTCGTTAATGATTTGAACATCACAATCCACCACTAGCTGTTTGCGTCCAGAGAGGACGGGGAGCTCATCATATCGTGTACTCAACTTGCTCAAGTTTTGCATTGGCTGTGTAATAATGACAATAATATAAGAACCCACAATGAAACTTTTTTCCTCTATGAAGCAATATATTGTTTCATGCATCAGGGTTTAATTACAAAGGTTTCACTCTTACGACCTTTTAGAGGTATCACTTCTAACGGAGTTCCTTGCAATTGCAAACAATGCATTAAATGAAAAGGGAAGAATGAGTTCTTTTTTCTTTTCTTTTCTTTTTTCATGTGTTCTCCTTTTTCATTAGACAACACTTTTATTGTTACTCAAGACAATTGCCATGATTTTGGAAAGTGGTATTTTGTAAAAAAGAATGGTAAAAGTTAATTATTTATTATTTTTTTCATAGATCGTTGCATCTGTTATCATCATTACAAAGCTTGAACATCCATGAAATTTGTGGGATTGTTTGCCTTGTGTTTTAGTTCTGTGCCAATATTATTGATGGTTGCTTGGATATATGAAGTATGAACTAGATATTAGATTGATACTTGAACAAGATTGTATATATTAAGGTACATAGACTGGACAGAGACTGCTCTGGCATTCTGGTGATGGGAAGGACACAGACAAGTGCTGCAGTTTTGCATTCCATCTTCCGCGAGAAAACTTCCAGGGCGTCAGATGATGTGAGTGATAATTGTACTTTTTCATCAAATGCTTCATGCTGGCTGACCTGGATGATATAACCTCCAGAGCATTGGTCTATTATGGTCACAATCTCAAGTTGCTATATCTGTTTCATTTTTTTCTGACCTTGTTCCATTTGATCCTTAAATAGATTGACAAAAAAAAGAGAATCCTACAAAGAAGGTACTGGGCACTGGTCATTGGATGTCCTAGACGTTCAAAGGGGTTGGTTATTGCTTCATTGGGTAAGGTTGTATCCATATTGGCACTTCATATGTACTGTAGAAAGCTCGTTATATATTGTAAAAGATTGTTGTAATCCTTTTTTTGGTTTCAGGTGGTTGTTGACAATGGGAAATCTGATCGAATAGCATAAGCCTTGGTTTGCTGCAATGGTGGTTTGAAAGGTTTGTTGCAATGGTGATTTTTTAGTGTTAAGGACCAAATAGGGCCTCGATAAATTTGTCAGGAACTAAATAGGACCTTCAGCTGTTCAAAACTCCAACAAGACATAAGGCACCTTCAAAACGGCGTCGTTTTACTTCCACGCTGGCATACTTAACAGTGACTCAGCAAAGTAACGGTCCACATGTGCACCGTTAGTTGGGCCGTTAGATGCCAACTAACGGAAAGACGAACGTGGCCATTTTTTTCAAAAATGAAACACTGAAATGTGACTTTTTTAAACCGAAGGACTAAATTGTGCTTCGCAAATATTTCCAGGGACGAAAAAGGGTATTTACTCTTTTTTTAAAAATATATCACTATTTACAATTCAAAATAAAACAAAATCAGTTCTTTAGCATGCACTTCTAAAATATCATTCCTAAACACAAACTAATTTTTTAATATTGATTATTTCAAAATCAATTTTTCCAACACCAACAAACCTGACACTGACGACACTCTGACTAAAAGACGCCTACAAATTATCAAGACTGATCCAAAGATAGGAATCTATCCTCTCAATATATCCTCACAAAACCATGAAAGAGTCCATTCATTATCTTCAATTTTCAGGTAACCGATTCAACATTGTTTGTGCTTCTTTTAAGAAAAAAATATTAAAAATATATCTATAAGATTGTAGGATAATTAAATAAAAATTTTCAGAAAAATAAAAACATAATTTTAGCACGTTTCTCTTAAGCTTAAATAAGCAATTCTTAAAAAAAATTATATCATACAACATTTCTTTTCCCAAAGCTTATCTCAACCCATTCTAAATAAAGTATTTCGATGACACATTATATGCTCTAACAAATTGCGAGAGCAAATAGGAAGAAATGCAATGTCAGCTTTCACAAGTTGCCCCAGAGTGTCAGGGCACTTTTAAAAAAAAAATTTAGGGTGCACCCATGGAAGTAAAATTGCTATAAATATTTTTTTTTTATTTTTTTCCTCAAAAAAATTACAATTTCAATCTAATATATGAACCACAAAATTTGTTGATTAAATACTAGTGTTACAACTGTTAATGCCACATAACTAATTTGCTCCTAACAACCTATAACATGTTTCAAAACTGGTTGAATCTGCCATCAAGATCTCTTCACAATAGCAGTTGCAAAGAAAGGATGATGACAGAACGTGAATGAAATCTTCAAAGATGGGTCAAGGGCTCCTACCCGGCAAATGACATTTAAGGCAATGCTGTTGTGCTCTGCTACTTGCTCTATTCTGCGTAGCTCAGCCATTTTGTCAGGGTCATTAGCAAAACTACTTTTAACCTCTTTTGCAATCCTCTGAGCTTCCTTGAAGTAATCATACATAACAAGGGTCTGTAGGAGAAACACACAAGTAAAAGCCTGTCTCTTAAACCAACAACACCTAACAGTTTTCAAAAGAATACTCACAGAGAAGTTAGCATGAACAGTTGACTCCTTGAATGTCACATATGAGACGTGATCAGGAAGGCAAGCTTTCTGTAAAAGCTCGAATTGTTGAATAAATATCTGGAGAAAAGTCTACGTGAATTAAGTTGCAAATGAAAAGCGATATAATCTGTGTTTCGATCAAAATACAATAATTACACAAGGAATAGTAAACAGTACGGGACTCATCCCTCATGGTATACTACTACTCTATTTACAATATTCACAACTATATTTTTATGCTTTACAACAAAAAATTTGATTCGAAACATACTTTTTCCCACAGTGCCCATTGTTACACAAATTTGTCTTGAACTACATATACTTGTTACTGTGAAGTATCAACAAAGATAGAGTATACTAAATATCTCTGGATATTTTAAATGCAGTTTAGATAATTGATTGAAGGTTTTCCCTTTAACTTCTGGTAAACCTTTACTAATATATTCTTGAAAAGAATCAATTCAACCCAAAAGCTTAAGCTGTTGGGTGAGACTACATTAATGGTCTTTTATATCTCTAACACGTCCCCTCACATGAAAGCCCACTGGACTTAAAAGATGGACAATGTGCAAGCCCACCTACCTGTCCTAAGAAACTCCACAAGACTTAATTAATTCTTAATTAAATGAAGGGTGGTGAGGATCAAACCCGTGACGTCGAGGTTCTTATACCATGTAAAAAATAAATTCAACCCAAAAGCTTAAGCTATTAGCTGAGGCAATATTAATGATTTTATGTATCTCTAATAATCCTAAATTATCTGTTCTTATCAGGAGGACAAGATCACAAGTGTATTAAGGCAAAATAATAATAATAATAATAATAATCCATAAGATAAGTTGCTTCATTCCAGCTACAGCAATCATGCAGATTGGAGAGTAAGAAAACATAATTTAGTATCCAGAGTTTGGGCCATGATTCTTTACTGGTTCCAAAAGACAAAAAGAGGATTAGGGCCCGTTTGAAAACTCAAACCGATGTTGATAAGGAAAAGGTTCATCATTGAAATTAATGTAGTGGGATTTGATCAATACATGCCAAGAATGAAATTAGGGAAAAACTGCTGAAAACAATCAGCACCTGATACGTTACTGAATGCATTCGGACAACAATCTAATTGAAATAGTTGCCGCTAGTATAACCTTAATTATTATATTAAATATTAATAGTTCCTTCGGATACAATTTTAGCAACAAAAAAAATGAAAATCAAACATTGGAAGATTGGTGCTTAATTTGTAAAACACTAAAAATTCAGTGCTGAATTTCAGTTTTACCAAACTCACCCTTAGCTATGTTTAACTAAGTTTTTAATACATTTGACAATTGTATATGACAAAACAGAAAACCTTACCTCATGTTCTGTATTGAAAGGGCTTTGCGGTGGAATAATTCTGCGCTCATTTCTCAAAGCAGCATACATCTAGAAAAATAATTGGATTGCTGCACCATGTAAGTCCATTAAATTGAATCAAATAACAAAGCAGGAAAAATAGAGTTCAAAGTAACTTATTATTTTACAGAGTCAAAAGTCGCCATGTTAATTTAGAAGAAAAAAGACTTCACAATTTGGTAAAATAGGGTTCTTAGTTTTCACCTACAGAATACAAATTCTAGAACCTACAGATCTGGTAGAAAATTTCAAGCCACTCATGTCTCAAACTGCAATTCCTAGAAGAAATCAGCAAGACATCATCATTAAGAAAACATACGCAGTATTACCATGCTTAGCCCTTCAGCTAGATATATTTGGCTCTGAAGAAACAAGACAGCTGCTGGGATCTGATAATCCATTCCTGTGTCCTTTAAAGAATCCCTTTTTTTCTTTGCCTTCTTTTTAGCTGATCAATAGGAAGCATACATTAATATTGAAGTTGGAGCCACCATAAGCTTATTTTTTCTTCTCACAACTAAATGCACAATCACAAGAATACTTGATCATTCTACTGTGAAAATCATCAATTTGTATGCAAACATAAAGCAGAGCATTCCCTCACACAAATGAATCACTTTTCCAAGTAAAAACTGTTGATGAATTGCTGCACACATACCAGCACCACTGCTCATTGCCATCCGGAGATGTTTCTTCTCTGCGAGCTTGATCAACACAACATAAATATACCAGTATACCATGCAATAATCATGGGCAGAATAGAGCTCCAATTCAAATCCCAAAATGAGAAATCGGAAAGCTATCCAATAAGTTTGCTCTTCCACCCACGCGATAATGTGTTGGTATATTTTGAAACACACATTCTGCCAGAACAGAGCAATGATGGAATTATAAGTTCAGGGATAACAGCTAATACACAATCAACCAATTTATGCCCACAAAAAGCATGTGTGCTGCAACACTCATGTCAGAAAATTCACTTCTCGTGAGTTTAATATTACTTCTCAAAGGAATGTGATAACTTATTGTTTTAGGAGCAGCACTTCCAGCTAGATAATTGGTAACCTCATAAGTAACAAACCTCATTGTTTGAAATGTTTGAAACTTCTCCAAACTCCTTTTTAAAAGCCAGCTCCAGCTGCAGAGAAGAATGCAAGATTATATTAATAGCTTGGTTTTAAATGAATTTATGGGCAATCATAAAATATATCAATTTACAATTAACAATAGAAGTATAATCCTACTCCAAATGCTAGGATATCTTGACCATTTGATCTCTTCCCCTACACCAAATTTTCTATCGTCTTCCTTAACATTTTTCTACTATTCTTTTGGTATTTTTATGGGAGGGGGGTGTCTCCAGCTGTCAAGTAGTAAAAACAAACACTAGTAACTCATGAAAATCTTCCTAAGATCTAATTAAAATTCTTAAACAGATAAGGCATGTTATATGTAATTGAATGTACCAAAATTTTGAGTGGGACTTGATATAAATGTATTTTTTCCTCATTCATTTCTGGGTACTCTTGTATTGTTCATTAGTAAGAGGAAAAAGCAACTCTCAAATTTTAAAAGCATAATAAACATATTCAAGCAGATTTCACAGCATACGAAAGAAAAAGGGGGAGGGGGAGTGTGCAAGTAAAATCTGGAAAACAAGGAAAGGACACACCTGTACGTAGGTGACACGCCAGTCTTGTAACATTTTGCCTAGCTTACGCCTTTGCCATGCAGCATTTGTACAAAGAATTTTGAGTAAATTTATCACCAACTGCATGCATAATATTGCATAGATTACACAAAGTGCCTAATTCAATAAAGCATGAGTTGTATAGCCTTTTTTTATGGGAAAAGAATTCATATTTGAATTATACTATCCTTGAGTCAGAAAATCTAGGTCGATTAAAAAAACTATAGTTGAGTCTTGATAATTTCAGTTAACTCAAAAAGATGATGCTCATTCATCAAAAGCATGCACGTCTATACAAGGTCAGGAACACATTATGGTATGACATACCAGATGACTATAATTTCATTACCTGTCCTAGCTGCACCATAAATTCATTTTTTTGGATGTCATGATTCTTTGTGACTTCAGGTAATCCAGCAGCTCTAGTAATCATAGAAAACATAGGATCCCGACCATAGAGTTTGCCATCCTGGACCAGGAGAAGCTGATAACAAGTTTTAAGGGTTGAGCTTGGAGAATAGAGTTCAAAACAATAGTAGCAAGTACAATTCTACTACCGTGCATATCTAGCATGCCTTTGCAGGCAAGGATATAGTGAAGCACTGGACCAACAACAAAAAGACATGCATCAACATGCCAATCAGAAGCATGAAGACGGAATGTGTTACTTTTGCGTGTCTCTAGCATCCCATAACAGGTTCTTCCAAAGAGCAAGAGTTACAAGATATCCGGTGCTTAGCCATGAATAGTAGTTCCTTTAATAGATGTAAGCTTTGCTAGTGATGGTTACTCCCTAATATGTTGTATGACATGGTAAATACAATGATCATATGTATCATAATACTTATTAGCATTGTTAAATCATCAGTTTATACATAATACAAGCTTATTAACCAACACAAAATCACATACCCAAAAGGGAAGTGTGGTGGTATAAGCTCCCATGCACGGAGTTGAGAAAAGGGTCTGACCCATTGAGTCTATACAGTAGGCAGCCTTACCTTGAATTTGCAATAGGTCGATTCCACAACGTATAATGTAGAAAATATATTTTATATTATCTTTAATACAGTAAATGTGGTACAAGGCAAAAAATTCTAATGTTCATTTAAGCCAACATATATTTTTCTTCCTGGCTGTCTCATAATAAGAGGCAGCAGCTGAAAAAGGAAAAATCTATTCGACAAATATTTAAACAAGTAAATCGCTCGCCTACATAGAAGATTCGCTAAAGTAGGCAAGTAGCTAATAATAAGATAAGAGAACACCCATCAAATCAAGGAGAATCAAGGAATATTTGAAGATCCACCTGAAGATGAGCTCTAGAAACCAAATCAGGTTGTGATTTCTGGAATTTAACCACAAAGAGTAAAGCAGCCTCCAGTGATGGGTCCAACGAGTAGGAACATATGATGTCTAGATCTTGAAGAAGTTTCATAAAATATTCAAGAGCCTGGGAGAGATAAACTGGAAACATTATAATAATAGAATTAAGTTTAATGCATTAAAAGTGACCCTCTAAACACTTACCTTTTCCCAACAAAAAATTTTGATTGCCCGTGGTGGTGTCGGGGCTGATAATCTACAGTTTAAACTAGCATCAAAGCCAATTGGTTGACAACCAGATGCAGTTGTATTGTCTATGTTTTGCTCAGATATCTCATGAGCACTAGCTCTAAGAAACTCTGAAGATTTCCGAATGTTATCAATCTCTGAGGTGCATGAATCTATGTGTTTTCTTGCCAATTCCAAACCTCTTCCTTGGGGTCGTTTCATAGACACCAAAAGATGATAAAAATGCTGAAAGAAAATCAGATGTGGTGAAATTTCAATCAGAGAAATTGCACCAAAGAGTTCAAATTGCAATGAAAGCTGAATTGTCACAAGACGGAAGCACAAATATACTAAATAAACATCTAATAAAAGTACTGTAAGGGAAAGTCACAAGGATTAGGCCAGTTTTGAGGAGCTTGGGTAGTTTGGAGATCATACATCTGAATCTCCATGAAGCCATGGTGTCCAAAAAGAAAAATTAATGTAAGGGACACAGAAGGTTCCAGGTATGGGTATCCAAGGTCTAAAGCCAGATGCCTAACACAATGAATGAGTATCAGGAATAGGACATCCTCAACTTCTTTTAGCAGAACTAAAGCTATGCTAATCAGGGAAGGTTGAAAGGATGTATGCTAGTTTTACAATCTTTATCATCTTATTATCTTTGACGAGTGTGGATTGATTAAATATATAGCAAAAAGTACGTTTATTAATAAATAGACACAACCTATGTCTAACGCATAAACTAAGCATAAGTGTGATTCTGCATTATTTGCATAACTTAGAAGAGAAAAAACATAGGATAAAACCTTACGAAAACGTAAACGACATAACAGTGCTTTGCAGTAGCCTTCTTCCAGATCAGGATTATTTTGAAGTGGCTCTACATCTGCAACAAAATAGCTCACAATTCAATTAAAAGCATAAGCATATGTTTATTCTTTTTGTAATCGGGTAAAAGGCCGGATGATTTTGAGTTTGACAGTTACGAAGCTTCAAGTTTGTAATAGTACCAGGTATTATAAGCAACAAATGGAATTCAATTAATGGTTTATGCTGTCGAACTTCGAATTTCTCATTTCTATTTCTATTTTTCTTTTTTCTTTTTTTGACTTAACTGGTATATATACAGCAAAGCAAATTTATAAGAGCAAATTCAGAAAATGATCAATCATTTAATTAAAACAGTGCATATATCTCAAATTTTCTGGATGGTATATAAAGCCAACAAAGGATATAAAATTATTCAAGAATGGCATAAAGCCTGCCACAACAGGTATTTGGAACATTTTCAAACAGAACATTAACACTCTTTAAGGGTGATTAACTTCAAAATTTAATCTTTTCCTGTAGGCCATTATCACCAAATGGCACCCTCATTCCCTTCTGCAAAACTATTTGAAACTTATGATAATATTATGATGTGAGACCTCACCAACAAACAAAAAGTAATGTTTAAGTTTCAACAAGCAATTACCTTCCGATACTCTTCTTTTTGATGATGAAGCTTTACAAGCACGCAATTGACGAGAAATGGTTTCTTCGACAGCATTTAGCATTGATAAACACTTTTCATCTCCATCTCCACCCAGAGGAAGGCCATATGCCATGGTAAATAGATCCTCTTCCTGATACAAATAAATATCACCATTTTTTTTCAAATTAAAAAAAGAAAGAAATGCTCTGCAAGAATATGATCTCACAATAGAACGACAAATAAATATAGCCATGTGTTAGTGTTGAATATTATAGATACAAGAGGAAATGATAGTAATCCTTGTTGTATTAAACTACACGACATTGGTGCTATTATATAGCAAACCAATTGAAGAATACAAAGAGACACACTCAATGTGGGACTTCTACACTATTAACACTAACACTCTTAACACTCCCCCTCAAGCTGTAGCATATAGATCATATGCTACAAGCTTGATACATAAATAATACTCCCATTAGGAACCAAAAACAACAATGCTACATCAACGAAATGAAATGACTAAGTACAACAAATCAACTGGAATGACCATCAGTGTGAAGAGCTGATAAAGAGACAGTGCTGGAATGGACATCAGAGCATGGATGGTGCCGGAATTATCATCGGCAAAGACAACTGAGCTGACCAGGACATCAGCATCAAGATCCCTCTCAGACATTTCATTTAACAGTTGGTGAGCAGCCGTGGTTTCCCCTTGACTATGCTACAAGCTTATTACAAGAAAGACCAAGTAACATGACATCAAAATAAATCTCCTAAATGAGAAACCAAAAATCAACAATGTGCTAAAAATAGCGTCGAAATGAACATCAACATGGAAGATGCCGGAATGATCATCAAAAAAGACAATTGTGCTGGAATGACCATCAGCAACATGGACGGTGCTCCCCCTCAAGAGGAACTTCTAAATAGTGCCGGAATTATCATCGACAAAGACAATTGTGCTGGAATGACCATCAACAACATGCACAGTGCTCCCCCTCAAGAGGAACTTCTAAACAGTGCCGGAATTATCATCGGCAAAGACAATTGTGCTGTAATGACCATCAGCAACATGGACAGTGCTCCCCCTCAAGAGGAACTTCTAAACAGTGCCAGAATTATCATCGGCAAAGACAATTGTGCTGGAATGACCATCAACAACATGCACAGTGCTCCCCCTTAAGAGGAACTTCTAAACAGTGCCGGAATTATCATCGGCAAAGACAATTGTGCTGGAATGACCATCAGCAACATGGACAGTGCTCCCCCTCAAGAGGAACTTCGGTGTCGGAATTAACATCAGCAGAGACAACATCAGCAACTTGGACAGTGCTCCCCCTCAAGATGGATGATGAATAGTATAAATACTCCATCTTGGGAAGAAAGAAGATTAAAGAAAAACAAAGCTTCGCGGAATCGAAAAAGTCGCCGGAGACGGCGGTGGGTCGTCGGAAAATTCGTCGGAGACGGTGGTGGATCGCCGAAAAAGTCGCCGGAAAGTCATCGGAAAAGTCGCCGGAGACGGCTGTCAACGGTGGACGACGCGGTCAACGGTGGTCAACCCAACAACTTCCCAAGGATCATTCTTTTCTGATGTGACAGATCAGTCTAAGCTGCAGTCACAGAGCATACTAAGAAAAACCCGAAAAAGAAATAGCAACGGGAATCCTTCAAGGAGGGTGATATCTCTCTATAACCATATTGAAATTATGGAAAATAGAACTAAGTTAAACAGATTAAGATTCCTCTTGTTAGGCTCTAGATACCATGTTAAATATTATAGATACAAGAGGAAATTATAGTAATCCTTGTTGTATTAAACTACACAACATTGGTGCTATTATATAGTAAACCAATTGAAGAATACAAAGAGACACACTAAATGTGGGACTTCTACACTATTAACACTAACACTCTTAACAGTTAGACATATGTTCACGGGAATACACAGCTTATAAAAAACATGTAGAGCATATGTTAGGAAATCAAATAATTATTGCCACATATCTATATGGCATCAACTCAAAGGAAGGCTGTATGCCAGTGTAAATCATTAATCTTCCGGTGACACAATCTATAAAATGAGATCCAAATAAATAAATAAGAATCCTAGCATTATATTCCACTCTTTTCTTCCTCAAGTAATTTAGTGAATGGTAACAAGGCAATAAATAATCCCATTCTTCCAAAAGAAGAAAAACTGATACTTATTAGACCCAACAGCAGAATTTAAAAATTTCAGACAGGTAAAGACACCCAAAAGAAAACGTTCCTATATGAAAACACAAAAAAGAGAGTTGTTGGAATACTTTACTTCATGTGTACGTGAATCCGAGACAACTGAAAGAACTGCTTTGCAGGTTGCACGTATGACTTTACAGTAAGAGTGCAACAGGGCATATGATGATGTCCTTTCCAGATGTAGGAGATAGATGCAAGAATAGACAGTTTGTGCCAATGAATGACCCTTGTGCCATGTTGCCTGCATTGACAAATGACAACTAAGATAAAGAGAAGGAAAATATATAATTAAGACCTGTGTAGCACAGATGTAGATATTGAACACAAATAAATGTTACTATTTGTGTATCTCAGAAAATTGTATTTACACATTCTAATTTGAAATTTTTTTATACTAATTAGATAAATGTTTTACAATATTCCTTAGGGGAGAAAGAAAGCAAGTTTATTGAACATATATTATATTTTGATGTATTCAGAGCACTAAAATAGAGAATAAATTATTACGCAAAAAGAAAAAAAGAATAAAGACAAAAGAGCTTCATATCAAGATTGCACATTTTTCATCCTCACACATGATCATCATGCATGTCTTGATGTTTCTGTATGTTTTTGAGAGAGAGAGAGAGAGAGAGAGACGGATATTTTTCAGCCCTTGAAAATAATCTACAAAACCAAAGCTGTGCTTATACCACCATACAAGGTGCAACAGAGTGAAAATACCTCGCATGCAAGTAGATGGTCCATGATGTCAATTGTGCATCGAATATTAGTAGCTTTATCAGCACTAATAGGAACTGGAGCAGCACCGTTCTGAATGGCTTCCTCAAGAGAGTAGTAAGTACAAGCAATACCCGAATCCATCTTTGGGTCCATTATCTGAAAAACAGAAAATAAAGAAGTAATTCGTACAAGTTAAGGATACACAAGTCAGTTCCAAAGCAGTCCATAAAGAGGATAACACAGGACAATAGCCTGTCTATGTACATCTCTAGATATTTCAGTAAGGAAAACTCATTATCTTATTTCGAAATGACCCAATTATTTATTGGAAAATTGCATCCTTCTGTCAAATGCAGCTTAAATCATACAAAAAAATGGAAGAAAAAAAAGAACTACCACTGAAAGTGCAGTAAGCAAGAAGAAAGAATACCTCCAAAGCGGACATCGCAGCAAAGAGATTGAAATTATCTCCGTGAATGAGTTCTCCCTCTTGAAGATCTGCCAAACCAACATGGAAAGTTAGTTCAAAAACCACCTCTAATTGACCACAATTTCATTGCAAAATGCACTAAAAACATATCCCCTTTTATATTATCTAATATCCTAGTCTATAAAACACAATTTGGTCAAGAAAAACGTAATTTTGATACCATTATTTTATTCCAAAAAAAAAAAAAGTGTTTATGTGATGATCGAGTTTTTTTTTTTTTTTAATAAAGAAAAAATGAAGCATTACATATTTGTAAATTGTAATCAGCAGCATTACATAGCAAGCAAGGAAATTAAAAAACTGGAGGCATTATAATCAAAGCCCTGACATGACATGAACGCTATGCTGAGAATCAGGTTAAAAAAGAAGGGTTGGTTTCGGTTTCCATGTTTAGGAGGGAAGAAAAGAGAAAGACGATATCAAAAGAAATGACCTTGGCAAGCGGCTTGGAGGAGCGGCGACACATCGGCCCAAACGAAGTTATCGCCGGAGGGAATGGAGGTGCGTGGAGGAGGCACGGTGGCTGCTTCATCGGTGCGATCCTCGGCCATACCTTCGAAGCTAAGCTGTTTGTTCCTGTTAATGAAGTGAGTGCGTCCAATTTAAGGTTTAATGTTGTGCTTATGTAAACTAAACTCTAAAACAACTCTCTCTCTCTCTCTCTCTGTGGAGGGTTTAGGGTATTGGTGTTGAATACAGATCCAATCAATGCCCTTCCTATTCTGTTTTTACTTTTACTTTTTTCTTTTTTCTTTTTTCTTTTTTTCTTGTAGAGAAGGACCTTTTTTTCTTTTCAATAAGTTTTTTATTTTTTTCTTGTGAATTTCTTTTTAATGTTAATAATCCATATTACGTCTGTGTTTTCTTTGTGAGCATACTAGGGTTTTATTGTTTAAATGAGTCAGCGGTCAATAAGGATTAATTAAATTAAAAAATAAAAAAAATCTTTTTTTTAAACTATTTGTCTTCTTCTTTGAATTGGATTGTTTTTTTTTTTTTTACATAAATTCAATAGATTTTATTCCATATATAATGTTTCACAATCAGGCTAAACTAAATTATCTTTGATTATCTCTTACTTTCGTATACATTTGATCTTTATAAGTTAGAAGTAAGTCGCAGAGCCATGTGTTGTGGGGGTGATATCTCAGTTCGGGTTAAATTTTAATAAATTTTACTTATTATATATAATTATATAATTAATTATAATTTAGCTAGGTTAAAATTGTAAAAATTTGACCCGGGCTATAATTTGTAATTTGGCTCTATCTAAAATTTAAAATATTTTTGATAAAAGATTTGGGTAAGATGTTTTAGGTTGTGTTCAATTTTCACTTATAAAATATATATATATATATATATATATATATTAATAAAATTATAATTCTTCTTAGTGTTGTCTGCTCAAGTACTCTGTATTTAATATAATTTAAATATATTATGATATAAACTAGGGAAAACTGTTTCTGCAGTTATCTCAGATAAGTTATCTACATTTATTCTCAAAACGACGTCGTTTTGGTATTGAAATCTTAAAAAATTATAAATTATAATCCTGAAATAAATTAAAATTACAAAAACACCATGATTTCTGCCACAAAATAACATCGTATTGGGCTTATTGCAGATAATTTATCTGCAGTAACTGCAAAAAAACGAACCCTATAAAATAACTCAAATTAAGAAAAATAAATACACATACTTTTTTAATGCGGACTCAAATTAAAATCCGGCTCCGCTAATGTGAGAAGTCACACAGCCTCGTACCTTAATAGAACCCACAAGTCTAAAAAATGATTATAACATTACGCAATACATGCTAGTCAGCTAGGGTAAATTTATCCCATTATATATACCTCCACTCTTCTTTAGATGAATCATTTTCTCTATTATTGCTCTCTCGTTGAAATCATCATCCATTTGTTATAATGAAACCCAAATACCTTTTACTTGATTCTCATTTTGCTTTAAACGTTAAAGGTGACTAGCATTGAGCTGGAGTCCATACTATTGCCTCACTAGTCTCTGTTATATTGATATTTTTCCTTTTTAAGGGAAATATCTACTCCTTCATCCATCTAACTAATTCATAATTTATATATTTTTAACTTTTTTTAGATAAAAAACATGTAATTATAAGGTGGGGGTATTAGGATACATTCAATCGATTGTTGGATTTGTTGTATAGGATAAGATTAGAATCTGTATAGGATAGGATCAGTTTCTGTAGATCAATTTCTGTTTTGTATTCTTAGCTATCTGTATTTAGTTTGTTCATATCCCTTGATCGTAGGCTTACTAGCATAACAACTTACTGTAACAGGTCTATTAATATATCAACATACTAAATGGAATGATAAGCTGCTCATTCACTTGCATCTTCCTTTATGGTATCAAGAGCCTGACGATCCTTACGTCAGATTTTTTTTTCAAACCTCACCATGACTTCCACCCCTCTTAAAATCACATACCCCAAATCTCCATTTTTTCTTCATGCCTCTGATCACCCTGGAGTCATCCTCACTACTGTCTTATTACGTGGCCAATCAAATTACGAAAATTGGTCCAAACTTATGAGTAATGCCTTGAAGGCGAAAAACAAGCTTGGCTTCGTCAATGACAACATCAAGCAACCTACTGATAAAGATTCTGATGAAGCACATGCCTGGTCCTTGTGCAATTCTATGATAAATAACTGGATCCATAACACCCTAGACCCTCAAATGCAGCCTTTCATTAAATGTTTCGAAACTGCGAAGGGTTTGTGGGATGATCTCAAGGAACGATTTGCTGTAGCAAACGTTCCACGTATTTTTCAACTCAAATCCTCTCTTGCGACCATGAAACAACATGGTACGTCTATTACTGATTATTATACAAAGTTGTGTTCCATATGGGACGAACTCGAGTCTAGTCGCACTTTTAATTCATGTGCCTCTGGTGATACGTGTGCCTACACTCGCTCTGTCAACGCTGAAATTGAAAAAGACATAGTCTACCAATTCCTTATTGGTCTTGATCATCATGTCTATGGGACTCTGATTACACAGATTCTCAACACCAATCCTCTTCCCACTATCAATCGGGTTTTTGCCATGGTTATTCAAGAAGAATCTCACAAAGCGATGGTGTGTGTGGCTGATACCCCAGCTGATGCTCTTGGGTATGCCTTCACCAATTCCGCCTCTGATTCTACTAAGCCACACATCACATGCACTCACTGTGGACGGTCTGGTCATGACGTCTCTCGCTGCTACAAACTCCATGGCTACCCTGATCGTGCTGCTAATGGACATGGCTATTCTGATCGAGCTGCTACTGGACGAGGACGTGGACGACCTGTTCATGCGTCTGCCAATGCTACTCACACTGATGTGTCTTCTAACTCTGGTGGATCGTCCAAACCACTGTCCGTTGATGATCTTACTCCATAAATGCTTCAAAATTTAATGGCTCTTGCTGTTTCTTCCAAGCCAACAACTGCCAAGTTATCGGGTATGTCTTTTTCCAATACTTCTTGGCTTTTGGACAACGGGGCGTCACAACATATGACAGGAACTATCTCCTTCCTCACTAATATTCGTAATATTTCTCCTTGCTCCGTGGGATTACCAAATGGCACTCGAACAATGTCAATTCAATGCGGGGATGTGCAACTCACACCTCTATTGCTTCTCACTAATGTTCTTTTTGTGCCTTCACTCACGTGCAACCTAGTCTCTATATCTCAGTTGCTGCGATGTAACATTTGCTTTGCCCTCTTTACTGATTCACATTGTTTCTACAGGACCAACAGACGAGGAAGACGATTGGAAAGGGTGTTGAGCATGAAAGGGTGTACGTACTGCATCAAATCGCATCTGCAAATAAAGTTCAACATGCTGCTTCGTCTGATCTATGGCATCGATGTTTGGGACATCCATCAAGACATTATTTACGATTGCTTCCTTTCATTTCTAGTTTGAATAAAATGACTTAATGTGATGTCTGTTGTAGGGCGAAACAAACTCGTTCTTCTTTTCCTATTAATAATAAGACAAGTTTGCACCCTTTTGATTTAATACATTGTGATTTATGGGGTCCCTATCGTACTGTCTCTTCTTGTGGAGCACGAAACTTCCTTACAATCGTTGATGACTTTAGCAGATTTGTTTGGGTTCATCTTTTACGTGATAAACATAAGGCATGTTCTGCATTAATTAATTTTATCACAATGGTGCAAACACAATTCACCTTCCCAGTTAAACACGTTCAAACAGATAATGGGGCTGAGTTTCTTTATTCCCAACTTCATGCATTCTTTGTCAACCGTGGCATCCATCATCAACTCTCTTGTGCATACACGCCGCAACAAAACGGCAAAGTAGAGCGTCGTCATCGCCGCATCCTTAATGTGGCACGCGTTTTACGTTTCGACGGTCACCTTCCTATTTCCTTTTGGGGAGAATGCATTCTCACATCTGCTCATTTAATTAATAGAACCCCCACCACTCTTCTTAAGGGTAAATGTCCTAATGAGGTTCTTTATAATCAACCTCCAACCTACGATCATATAAAACTCCTTAGTTGTTTATGTTATGCAATGGTGCTGCCCAAACCATTGGACAAGTTTGCTGCACGTTCTAGAAAATGTTTGTTTATAGGATATCCATCTAACAAAAAAGGATGGAAGGTATATGATTTGGAGACTCATTACACGTTTGTTTCTCGTGATGTCCAATTCTTTGAGGATGTTTTTCCACTTGCTTCCGATGCTAAGGAATCTGTTTCAACAACACCACAATCCCAACTTATGATCATCGATGATTCTCATTTCCTTGAAGCACCTGTCACTGCTGCTGATCTTACACCTGCACCACAGTCCACAAGCAGGGGGAGTTCTTCACCACCTTCATTTGAACCTTCTCCTCTTCCTATGATACTACCTTATGAAGATAATCCACGGCCACGCAGAACTCAGCGTCCACCTGCATATCTTCAAGACTACCAATGCAACCAAGTTACTACACCCCCTTCAATCAACACTCCTTCCAATGGTTCCTCAGGTATGCTTTATCCTATAGAAAACTTTGTCTCTAATCATGTATTTTCCTCGCAGCATAAGAAATTTTTAGCTGCTGTTAGTGCTACCAAGGAACCCAGTTCCTTTAAAGAGGCTGTCAAGGATCCATTATGGCAGAAGGCTATGCAACTCGAGATCCAAGCACTTGAAGACAATCATACATGGGTGGTAACTCCTCTTCCTTATGGCAAGAAAGCAATTCCTTGCAAATGGATCTTTCGCATCAAATATCATTCAGACGGTTTCATTGAGAAATACAAGGCACGATTAGTAATTCCTGGCAATAATCAAGTTGAAGGTGAAGACTACAACGAAACATTTGCTCCGGTTGCTAAAATGGTTAGTGTTCGTTCCTTTTTATCTGTTGCAGTTGCGAAGGGCTGGAATATATATCAGTTAGATGTCCAAAATGCTTTTCTCCATGGTGACCTTGATGAGGACGTATACATGCGGTTCCCTCCTGGTTTCTCTACTGGCTCACCTGGTACATCTTGCAAATTACAACGATCTCTTTACGGCCTCAAGCAATCACCACGCAATTGGTTTGCAAAACTCAGAACCTCTCTTCTCACTTTCGGCTTTCATCAATCCAAGGCAGACTACACTTTGTTTACATTCAATAAGGATGATGGATTTGTTGCTGTCCTCATTTACGTTGATGATATTATATTAGCTGGTAACAATACTTCCATTTGTGATCAAGTCAAACAACATCTCCAAAGTTGCTTCAAGATTAAAGATCTTGGCAAACTCAAGTACTTTCTTGGCATTGAATTTGCTCATAGTTCATCAGGATTATTTTTAAGCCAACGAAAATTTGCCTTGGATATTTTGAAAGAATGTGGTTTACTCGGGTGTAAGCCTGCTGCTTTTCCAATGGATCAGAACCATAAATTGGCACTTGCAGAGGGACCTGCATACGAAGATCCTAAACGTTACCGTCGTCTTGTTGGACGCCTGGTCTATCTCACAATTTCCAGACCTGAACTTTGTTACACAGTCCACACGCTATCTCAGTTTCTTCAACACCCTCTGCAACAACACTATGATGCCGTGCTGCAAGTCTTGCGTTACATCAAACGTAACCCTAGACAAGGGCTTCTTCTTCCTTCTACCAGTGATCTTCTTCTTCGGACATACTGTGATTCAGACTGGGCAAGTTGTCCGGTTACTCGACGCTCCATCACTGGTTACTTCGTTACCTTGGGCAATTCTCCTATTTCATGGAAATCAAAAAAGCAGCACACTATTTCTCGCTCTTCTGCTGAAGCTGAGTATCGATCAATGGCGGCAGCTACCTCTGAGCTCCTATGGTTGAAGGCTTTACTACACGATCTTGGCATTCCTCGTCCCAAGCCAATGCAGTTATATTGTGATAGTCAATCCGCAATTCACATTGCTTCCAACCCAGTTTTTCATGAGCGAACGAAACACATCGAACTCGATTGCCACTTCGTTCGTGATCATGTCCTGGCTAAAACTATCGCAACAGAACACATTTCCACTTCTTCTCAACCAGCTGACATCTTCACTAAAGCCCTTGGCAGAAAACAGTTCGACTACTTGTTATCCAAGTTGGGCATCTCATTCCTCCATGCTCCAACTTGAGGGGGAGTATTAGGATACATTCAATCGATTGCTGGATTTTTTGTATAGGATAAGATTAGAATCTGTATAGGATAGGATCAGTTTCTGTAGATCAATTTCTGTTTTGTATTCTTAGCTATCTGTATTTAGTTTGTTCATATCCCTTGATCGTAGGCTTACTAACATAACAACTTACTGTAACAGGTCTATTAATAGATCAACATACTAAATAGAATGATAAGCTCCTCATTCATTTGCATCTTCCTTTAGGTGGCTTTAATAGGCATTATCTTAGATTTTCAAAGAATTACAACTTACCATTGGCAGTATCTCATAGTCATAAAGGTATATTTAACTCCACCAAAAATCTAACCTCTAAGTGACTGGTACAATAATATAAGAGTGACACCTCAAAAGCTTTGAATAAATTATGTTCCACTTCCTCCAACTCATAATGTTAAACCATTTTACATTTTCCAATATAACATATGGAATCGAACTAATTGTCAATTCTATATAATGAATATTTACATATGCAATATCTAAACTATAATTTTGTAGTTAAATGTGATTAACATAATAATTTCTTAAGCAACATATACACATAAAACCGAATCATAATATTGATTTAATTAGATCAGTTTTCACAATTAAATATGAAAATTAATCTAATCTAACTAACACAATTCAAGAATTGTTTTTTTTATACAATGATGACACTGAATTTGAACTTATGACCCCGTACAAACTACTTAATTTTTTTACCACTAACCAATTCTCATAAACATTATCTATTGCATTAATAAATATGTTAGTCACAATTAATAATAAAAAATTAAGAATGAATTAAAACTAAATAGAATAATGATTTGCTTAGCTCAATTGCAACCAAATCTCAGAATAGTGTTTAATCTCTAATAAGTTTAAAATCTCGGTTGAGGTCAGTTTGTTTCAACTTTACCGTGTCACATATATTCCACTCCATGCTTTAAAGTTTAAACCTCTATTTAATAATAATAATAATAATAATAATAATAATAATAATAATAATAATATAACACTTAATATATAGGACCCAGTGTGATGTGAGAAAACACTCTTTCACCCTTTATATATTGGAATCTCAATTTACTTTCTCCACTCAAAGACAATGACTAGTCTTGTTTGAAGTTTATACGTTTTAAAAAATATATATATATTATGTTTTGAGGGGTATTTTTTTTTTTTTTTGTATAAACACATGTGAGTTTGGTTTGGTTTTAATGAGGAAAAAAATAGATTTCATTAGAAAACATCAAAGAACCGCGTCAGAAACAACCAAATGCAAAAAAGGAACCCATACAAATCGAATTTATAATCTCATGTAAACTACTGAAGCCCCTTATTAATTATTAGTACACTCCCTCCCTATTGCTTAAATCCTAATGACTTTGACCATAAGTGAGCAAATTAAGGCCCGTTGACTCGTTGAGTTAGTGCGCAATGCCCCGATGTTGGAGCTATAACGGTGGCTACGGGTGAAAATGGACTGGGCTGGACCAAGTTTTGTCCGAAAAATTTAAGTCTATGTCAAAAAATTTTAATTTGACCTGGCTCAAGTCTGGTATGAGTCTAACTGTTAACTTGGCTTGACCCGTTTATAAAAAAACAAATGGTCTGGCCTAGCCCGTTAGCCTGATAATTTTTAACTTTCAAGCAGAATCATGAATCAACTTTACAAAATACTCAAATTCTGATAAACCAAAAATCATAATTTCAACGTCCAAACAGAATCATTAATCACAACAAAACTTATATAATCTGCATTTAAATCACTTCAAAAGCAAAATGCTAAAACTAAATAACATATATTTCATCAGATCCAACAAACAAATTCATACTATGTAAATTAAAATAACTACATGAATCTAACAAACACATCATGGTGCTTGTAGTAAGTATAACATCTTCCGAAAACCTTCTAACATATTCATATACACAATCTAACATGTTGAGATGTTGGTTCCTCCTACATAAAAAATAAAGTCAAATTTCTATTAAAATATAATCGAATATAATGAAGTTATAAATAATTGCAATTGATTAAATTTATATCTTTTGTTTTTTTTCAAGGCATACTTATTCTATTTTATTTTATTTAAAATAAATAGTACAATATAGGTTGACCGGTAGACTTATAGGTCAGGCCTTGTAAAAGTGAGCCTATGACCTTTTTATTAAACAAGCTTTTTCAAAGTCCAAACTCGACCTATTTTACGAAATATACTAGGTCAGATCTGACCTGACATAGACCGAGCCGCAGACCCCTATAGACCAGCCTGACCCAATTTCACCGCTAATGGTGGCCAACCAACTTTACACATATGAAATTAGTTAGTAACGCCAAAGATTAACACGCTATGGATTTATAAGAATAGTAGTGTAGAAAATAATTGTATCATGTCATAAAAACGTCAAAAGTGGAGTCCACCGATTTTTTAAAAGAAGAATAAAATAAAATAAAACAATCACACATTTCCATGGGTTCAACGGGAAGCAGATCCAGTTTCTTGTAACATGACCAAATCGTAATTCTTATATATAAATAAAGTTGAATTCGGAGGAAAATTAAAAACTAACCAAACAAGTTATATAATAAAATAAGAGAAAAATATTTGTCCTTTTAAATAACATAATTTATGTCATTTCACTCTCACAAAGAGATATGAATTATATCTTTATTTATTTTTTGTCCACTCTTTCTCCTATGATCTATCTATTTCTCTCACTTAAAATGACACAACTTACATCCTTTAAAATCACACACATTTTCTTATAAAATAAAGGAAAAAACGTGTATCATTTTAAAGGATGTAAAATTATGTCATTTTAAGTGAGAGAAAGAGATAGATAAAGGAGGAGAGAGAGTGGACAAAAAAAATAAAGATGTGGGTCCTGCCTCTTTATGAGAATGAAATGATACAAGTTGTGTCATTTAAAAGTACAAATATTTTTCCTTAAAATAAAATATGGGGGCAATTATACTTATTATTAAAAAGTTTTACAATTTTTATTATTAAATTAATTACCGTTGATTCTTGACAATCTAACGATTATAATTTATTGGGTTACACTTATTAATTAATTATTAATTTTTAATAAATTACAATCATTAGATTGACGAAAATCAACAATGATCAATTTAGCAGTAAGGGTTGTAAAAAATTTCAATAGTAAATATAACCTCTCCCATAAAAATATAATATTACACGTATTTTTTTTATGTCTACTTTACTTATTTATATCCAATATCATTAAGTTACAATTTCAATCATCTTTCACACTTTCCCTCTCCTCTAGAGATTGTAATTTACCATGTTGGAGAAGAGTAAGAAAAGTAAATATGAGAAAAAGTATTCGTAATATCATATATCCCATAAAATAATCTCAATGATTAGTTCGGTTCGCTCTGAGTGCCAATATATATCTATTTTACAATGTGCATTTCATTAACTCTGAACATGTATTGTTATGTGATCAAATTATTGAATATCAAAGGGGTAGCCTTATATTGAGCCTTCTAAGCCATATCGAATGAAGAATCATATGAAACACATCAAACGGTTTAGCCGGTCGATTCAGCACAAAATGTCTTTGAACTTTGATTACTCTCTCACGCAATTTCAAGTATTTGGCATGTGGAACACTTTTCAGTATTGTCTTGATCTCAGCTATCCTCTCTGATGGAACATGCAAAGAAAATTTGGTCCAATCAAGAACATCACTGAAGGGAAGTTGATAGTAATCAGAAACAATCACAGGGACACAACCTGAGTTGATAGACTCCACCAATCTAGGACTTGCCACTTCGTAGCCACTTGGGCACAAGCAAAACTTGCTTTGTCCCATGAGGCCGTGATAGTCAAGGCCTTTGGGAAGATACTCATGAACTTGAACTTCTTCATCTTTGTTCTTCCAGTGCTCTAACAATATCTTCCTTATTCTGCCATGTGCCCCTCCAGCGAAGAAAGCAAGTATAGAACGATGATGGGGTTCTTGGCCAGGAACTGGTGAGCTCAACTTGTAACCTTGCAAGTTCATTTCAGGTATTGAGACGTCTCTTTCAGGATCAAACCCTTCGGATGTGTTGGCATTGCATAACACTCTTATTAAATTCTTGAAAATCTCTTTGCCTGATTCCTCTCTTGAGATATCTGGTGCCTGCAACAAATTAAACACATACACATACACACCCACATTTTGTATCATTAAAATTAATTATTAGAGCAATTAATAACATCCATGCAACATATAGTTGCTATTCACAAGTCACAAACGTATACTGCAAGCCATGAATTAGGGAACTATATAGCAAATCAACAACATGCAAGAGATAGTGAACTACAATATAAGCAATAAGTTTCAATGCTACAGAGATTGTTTTCTTTAACGAAAAATAATTTTTTCTCGTGCAACACAAAAAAATTGAATAAAATCCACTAAGAAAAAGTGAGACTATAAGTGGTGTAGACAAATTGCATCATTGGAATCAAAATTCTAATTCAACATATCTATAATTAGATCACAAACATATATTATTCTCTTCTTCTTTTTTCAGCGTTCATTGATTATCCGAATGATCGGATTCGAAAGTATAGTTATATTCATTGCAAAGGCGACTCTTTCAAAATTATTTTTTCCATTCTAAGAGCTTAAATTCAAAATCTCCTGTTAAGAAAAATAAACTTCTTATCACTAATAATCAATAATTATTAGGGAAGGATGCATTATTCTTATGGATAAAAGCTGAAAACGACGTCATTTTGGGACGGGAAGCAAGGTGTTTTTGTAATTATAATATATTACAGGATTATATTAGTCTTTATCATTATAATTTTTTAATCTTATAACCAAAACGACGTCGTTTTGATAACTCTATCTCCGCTGACTAGAGAAATACTTTTCCCTGTTCTTATATACAAGAATATGTGAGGTCTATATATGATGGCAATTGTTACCCAGTCATGACAAGAGGCTAGGAAATGATCAGCTCCTTGGCTTCTATTCCAGTATGGGTACCTGCGGGCTATGATGCTGGCATAATCAATGGTGATCCGCAACAGTTGATCCCGAGAGTAGGTGGTGAGAGGATGGTATAGGAACTTCACGATGTTGGTCACGCTTATGGGTAGCATTAAGACATGGGCCTCGTCTGGATGCCGGGCCGAAAATGGACTCACTCCGTTATCGATTTCAGCCATGAAATGTCCCTCAATTCCATAAATTGAATTCATGGGCCCATCATGGACTAACGGTGGTTCACCTTCTTTGTATGTCCACACTTTGAATCTCTTCAGCATCTCTATGTGACTTCTGCACAATTTCAGAATGTTCTATCAAGTTTATGGGTTTGACAAAAACAAATCAAAACAGTGGGGAATAGTTATGAGTTATGACCCATAAATAAAACGAAAAAAAAACACTCGCTTACAAGCACTACTATTACCTTTTGTGTTCAAAAGAGAGATTTGAAAGCGTGTAGAGTGAAAACTAGCAGCTTGCATTTTCAAGGGTTTATTAGATAACGAAATTTTAGGACTAAGACTTCTAATAAAGAAATTTCAGAATTAAGATTTTATTTATTTATTTATGTATGAGATCTAGATAGCGAGAGAAAAGGTAAACCACTCTGCACGGAAAGCCACAAGGCGAAAAAGGTTAACATCGAGTCATTATCAACTAAATCTGCGTGATTGAAGTAATCAATTCATACGAAAACATGTATTCTCACTCAATATTTTAATTTTATTTTTAAGCTGTATTCTAATTCAGTATTAAATATTACGAGCATGATTATATTTGTAAATTTTTTATTTATGAATTTTTATAAATTACATTATATATTATGGATAGTACATTACTTAAGCATGTACTATTTACATAGTATAGTTTGTAAACATTTTTTTTTTTTTGGAGGTTACAAGGAATTGAACACAATACCCTACACTACACACACTCCTACCACACACATCCCACACCACTAGGCTAACCCTAGTGGTGCAGTTTGTAAACATTTATAAATATAACGTATTTCAAATATTATTTTTTAAACAATCACTTTTTATTATAAAATAAAATAAAATTGTTTGATTCCTTAATAAGTAGTCTTATTGATAAAAAAAAAATCTACATGAGAAAAACATTATCAAAATAAATTTATAAAATAGAAAAAAAATTTGGAAACAAAATAAACTCTCATACCATGGAAAAACATATATGAATTTGGATACCCAAAATATATATATATAGGGGCAGGATATTCTTACACCGGTGTAAGAGTTAGAAGTCTTATACTCAATCTTGACCATTGATCCACTTGTATCTAATGGTTCACATTACTAAAAAATTAGATCCCTTAGATATAAGTGGAATCAACGGACAAGATTGAGAGTGTAACTTACACTGGTGTAAAATGATCCTGACCTATATATATATATATATATATATATATATATATATATATATTTGGCAAATATGTCACGTTCTAGCGTTCTTTTGGTGCATCAATGCACCAACCTGTCCAAAAAAAAAATTGATGAAAAATATTTAAAAGATATAAATTAAATAAGAAGAAAATGTCCTTTTTTTTAGAGAAGAAAATGTCCTTTTTTTTAGAGAAGAAAATGTATCCACTTGAATACCTCCAATATCGTCACATACATACTGCAGCCAGAAGAAAAGTCAAATCACAGTTTTTAATCAAAGGTATTTAAAAATATTTGATTCAGTTTTTAATTGCGCCAAGACATGGTTGTTAAATTTACAATAACGTGCTATCTACACTTAAAAACCTACAGTTAAGTTACACTTGGTTATCATAAATGAAATACTGGTTACCAACGTTTATCTTATATTTATTGCATATCATTTATTGTTTAAAGAAATGTTATTTGCTGATTAAGATAAAAATTGCTAACTACAATCAACTCAACGATAACTAAAGGTAACCTTGGTGTAAGATTTTTGGGGTAGGTATAACATCACTGTTTATAACAATGTGACATCTACACCTAATATTTGCTAATACATAGTCTCTAAATATGTAACATAATACCTGTACCTAAAAACCTATTGCATTTGATTATCAATAATTTAATTATTAGCTATTAACATTTATTTTATATTTAAATGTTTATCCTTTATTATAGGAATAATATTTGATTATACACAACTTTACTATTACATGACTGTTTCTATACTTAAAACGATCATAAGAAACAACTTTATCATTGCTCAAGGACTCAACCTCAAATGGTTAAGAAAAAAATATGTTGTTGATGTATTAACCATACAATAAACATTGGTAACCAATAATTAAGTTATCGGTAAACCATGTTAATTTTTAGAGGTATAAGTTGTTAGTTGTGGTAATGTAAAAAATCTGTGTTATGAAAAAACAGTGAAAACGCAATCACACATAAAATAGAATGCAATCAGAGGAAACTAGTATTAAACCCAAGCCAGGATTAGATAATGTATCTCAAAGCACTTCTGTCCCCTCTGTGGTGCCTAAGGTTAGTAAATATCTATTGTGCCTAAGGTTAATGGATAAATGCTTCCGAGAATAGAACGAGTTACCTCTTTTCCGAGGGTGTCACTATTAGAAGAAACAGCATTGACAAACACAATGAACGGTCACAAGCCAAATAGTTGTGACTATTGAAAAACAAGGAGACATGACATTGTTCACAAGTGAAAAGACGCAAACGTGTCAAAACAAAAAGACACACTTTTTAAACTTCTTATTCACAACTCATTTATACAACATAAGTCTCTGGAATCCATATTAACACAACAGAACATTAGAAGACATCCGAATCTCTGGTACGTAATCGGGTAACTAAATATAAGGCGCATGAGAAAACATGAAATAGGTAAAAAGTAACCATACCATATAATTGGAAAAGGATATCATATATATAGCAGTAGTTACTTAACTGATGAAAAGCATAAGCGTTTCTGTAAACGCATCCTCTGGGGACAAAAATCTCTTCCTTATATGATGTGAAGTTTCGACTTCGTATTGCTCTGCGAATAACACCCCTTGCATCAGCCAAGTCTTCTTCAATTCTCAGTAAACTGCTATTCCTCTTTTTCTGCTATATATATATAGAAACACAATTCGTAAATGTAATTAAACAGAGGAAATTAACTCAATGAAACATAATTCAGAATCAGTATAATAATAAAACAAATATACATATACATATTTGAATCTATAATATATAAACCAAAATTTTCATTCAATGAAAAAAAGAAGACTTACTTTGATGTTGCTAGCGACAGTGTTATTCAACGGTAGAGTATGTTTTTCCACGGAAGGAGGAGCCGTTGCGGTCTCAAGAGTTTTGAGATGGTTTGGTGTTGGTAAGATGTTGGTAATAGGCAAAAGGAGAGTTATGTGGTTTCGGTTATGTGTACTTAAGGCGAGGAGAATAAGGAAGAGCAACGTTACGGAGAATACAAGCCATGATTTCGTTATTATCAAGGTTGTTGCCATGGCTATTGTGTCAGTTTCTTAGTTTGGTGATTGTTTGTATTCTCTCTGCGTAGATAGCTAAGCTATATGTTAATATAAAGGATGGGAAGACCGACATAGCATGAGGAGGATTATTGTTGCAATATGCTTATGAAAAAGTTGAGCAACTATAGCCCCTAAGAGATGACACACTCACACTTACTTCTCATGGTTGGTTCAGAATAGTTGGTCAATAATTAATCAAACGTTTTTTGAATGGGATAGAGGAAAGCACTTAATTATGGAGAGGAATCACATCTCCAATACACAATATTTGTCTTGATAGAAAATTGAGATATACTGCATCAAAATGTTGGTAATGGAATGTTTTGGTTGATGGGCAAATGGAGATATATTGTGGCGTGATAATAATGTGTCACTAGTGGAAAAAACTGTTTTCAATTGTGATTCATAACTTAACAATTTGGAGGATAAAAAATATAAAATGAATAAGAAAGAAGTCTTTGCTAGTACTGTTGATTTTGGGCTAAACTTCAAGGGGTGTAAACATAGCATGACCAAAACCAATACTATTGATTCTCGTTTTACTAGCAATTATAAGGCTTTCTTCGACTTTGCTTAGAAAATCATTAAATTGCAGTAAATTTCTAAGGCCCATAGGTTGTAGTCAAGATTGTATTTGTAGGGCTTGGACAAGATAGGATATGAGCATGATAAGCTTATATCATATCCTGTGTTTGATTTGCATAAAATTAGCCTGATAGGATAATGTTATTATATTCAGTGTTTGAGGCGAATCATATAATTAATGTCATGATATATGTAAATAGACAAAAATATCTCTTTAATAGAATTTCATATGATTTTTTAAAATTATTTTTTTACTTATTTACACATTATTTCTTATTTTAAATTATTAAAAAACTTTAAAAATCATAATTTTAATTAAAATATATTAAAATACATAAATAACCTTAAAAAAATTAAAATATTAAAAATTATATCCTCACCAATTAATTTTTTTAAAAAAAATTAAATTGATTGTTAATATTGATGGTGACAGCGGTGGATAGTGGCAGCGGCAGCTGGTGCAATGAGTGACCGATTGAATTGGTGGTGATATTAGTTGCGGGGCAGGTGGCAATGGGTGGTTGTGATAGCACCAGTAATAATCGGTGACAATTGTGGTGACTAATTAATGGCGGTAGACGGTGGTAGTGGTGGCGGTGACGATTGGTGCTTGGTGGTTAAGGGTGGTGGTGAATGGGGGCAATTGTGAGGGCTTATCAGTGGTGGTGGGTGGTTGGTGCCTGGTGGTTAGGGGTGGTTGTAGCCGGTGACCATGGTGATGGCTTGTGGAGGTAGTGGGTGGTAGAGATGGCTAATGGCCGGTAGCCGCAGCTAGTGGCTGCGGTGGCGGCTAATTGGTGGCAAGAGATGACCCTCACATGCCCAGTAATATTTGTGATGCACCCGAGCTGACTAACTTGGATTGGGCTTTTCCATAGTTAGGATTATTTCAATAATTGTTAGTTTTTTTTTAGTACAATGTTTTTTTAGTACAAATAATTGTTAGTTATTTACCATTTTGTTATTTTGTTTTGTCTATAGAAGGCTTAGAGAACCCTATTGTTATCACGTTTTTGGTTGAATAAGATTAAGAAAAGAGAAATAATTTTTTTCTCGCAATTCTTGTGTTCAGTCTTTATTTTTGTTTAGCCAGTTGGTTACTGCTTCGGCATTAGTTTGTAGTGGAAGAGCATATGACTATATTTGGAATGAGAGGATGTGACATTTGCTATCTTGTATTTCCTGTCCATTCTTTACCTAAGCCCCCCTATGATAGCTTATTCTATTGCAGAAAAGATAAAATGAGCCAATAGGATAAGTTTATCATATCTTGTTGGTTCACCAAACAATGGATAAGGACATGATATGATAACATAACCTATCATATCTTCCTTATCCTGTCCACCAAACAGGTACCATAAAATTAGTTTCCCAGACTTGGAAATACTATATAGTCTAATAAAAAAATCAATATTACTCATATTTGGATCAAACAAAATGGCTAAACTAATAAAGCTCAAAGTGTCAATTAAATTCGTAAGGAATATATAATAAATCGCATTCAAATGTAGACATATTCAAATGAAATTATGAATTTTCACAATTAAAATATTAAGAATTTCAAAATCAAAGTAATATATATTTTTTATAAATTTTCAAACAAATTCAAATTTCAATCTTTTTATGATTTCAAACACATATATCAAATTTGTTTTTTTTTTTTTGATAACATAAATTTGTTTTTTTTTCTTTCGTGATGTTGGAAATAATCAAGTGTGAGTGAGTGGTGGTGAAGTAAGTTCCACATAGGCTAGACATAGACCAAGTGATGATTATATAAGTGCAAAAAGACCCATAAACCTACAGCCTTAAGGTTTTGGGTTGAGATGTGGTGTCGGCCCACTTATTATGGTTTGTCATTTGGCCCATTGGTGAAAATGTACCCTTTGCAAAGGGTTTTGGGCTCCCTCGTTCCATTCCCAACACGTGATTTATTTGTTTCTAGGATTAAAAAAATTGCCACCCAACGCAGCAATCATTTTTTTGTGGGGTAAAATTGACTCAAATCGTGCATATTTCTAACAGAGCTAAGTTGATTTAATAATAGAAGTATAAAACAAATAAATATTATTAATGTGTTGCGGAGAGTGTTACATCTGGTACGTTTGGTGTTTTATATCTTGATTTTTTTTTTATTTAATCAATGTATTTGTCCATTTTGTATACTCTAAAAGGATGAGAACAGGTGCAAATGGTTATCTTAGGATGGAAAATAAACTACTGAATGCTCAAACCTACAATGTGAAAGAGAGAGAAAAAAAAATTGGTCAGGTAGAATTGTAGAAAACAAAGAGAAATATAATCTAGATATTTTTAATATTGTATTTTGACGCATGAATTTAGCTTCTAATCTCCACATAGTTAGCTCAAAAAGCTGGCTGTAGGGGTGCCTTAACAACAATGCTGGAAACTGGATCAATGGGTTTTCTGGGTGTCATATGATTCAACAAGTACATGTGAAAAAGGATTCAAGCCCAATAGAGACGGGTGAAGAATGACTCAACAGCACATGTGAAAAATGATTCAAGCCGAATAGAGACGTGTCCATCATTTTCCAGAGCTCCTTGCAAAGAAAAAAAATTGTGAGAAATAGATTAAAAATGATTGTAAAGCATAAGATTAACCTATTATTTATTTTCATTTATTAGCATCTTAATGAAAAATGAAAAGGTTGGATCCTTCCTATTGGGCTTGGATCCTTCTGAGGTGCTGGCATTGCACAGTAATCTGATGAAGTACTTGAGAAGAGTCCAGGATTGGCATATGAAACTTTTGAACCCTGAATCATCAAGTAATTAATGCACGAGTCCTTGTGATTTGAATTCATATATAATATAAGGGGTTATATTTTCTTCAGCGGTAGAAGATACCAAATTTTCCTTCACATCCATGGTAAACTGTGTTAATAGTTTTTTCTTTTTATTTATTAAATAGTGGGACCCACTTCAAAAAAAATGTATCTATTGCATAAAAGATTGATTTTCCTGTTACAAAAGACTATGATTTTCCATAATATAAATGGGAAAAGTATGCCTCTTTTGCTGCAGAAAAGTTTTCTACCATATGTGAGTGAATTCCATTATAATGAGAAAAAAATTAATAAAATATAACGAGATTCACTTATTTTTATGTAATTGTAACAGTTTTTTTTTTCAGCAAAAGCATAATATTAAATTCAATATAAAAATAATAGAAATATAATAAAGTGTAAATACCTTTTTTGATCCCTGACAAAAAACATGATTTCCACTGTAGTCCCTTACAAAATAAATTAGTCAGTTAGTCCCTAACAAATTCAAGGTGGACCCATTTTAGTCCTTTTGAGGGACTAATACGGGTCTTTTTTGAATTTGTGAGGGACCACGATTTCAACTAAATAGGTCCACTTCGAATTTGTTAGGGACTAACTGACTCATTTATTTTTGTAAGGGACTAAAGTGGGAACCGTGTTTTTTGTTAGAGACTAAAAATAGTATTTACTCTATAATAAAATCATTATGTGACCCCATCTAACAACTCCATCTTTTTGGGAGAATTAATTCACTAAAAAGTATAATATATTTTTGGAAAAAAAGTATCTAATGTTACTTAGATAACTTTGTCTAATGTTCATTAAAACGACATTGTTTCAGTGATTTTAGTACAACTGCCCCGGATATATGATTATACATTTAAAAATTACATGTGAAATTATTATAATATTATATTCAAGAATTAGGAATGGACAATCAACATCTGAATTTCAAGAGATCTAATAACTTGTGGACATTTGTTGAGGTGTGGCTATAAGCTCATAACTTCCATAAGGTTCCATTTCAAAAAAATATATAAATAAAAAAACTTAAGAGCTGACTTTTTTAGAAACCGACTTAAAAATTCTATTTATGGTTCAAGGTCTAAAAATATAATTAAACATGTTTGTTTGTTCAATTATTCATATACGCATTTTTTTTTATCAACTTAAATTTAGCGTGTAAGAAAAATAAATAATGGTCGTGCTAGGCCTATGAATAATAGTGCCGTCTTAGTTGTCATTGACATTTTTAACGTCGTTGTACCTAAGACAACAACGCAATATAGAAAACGATTAAACAAGGGAGAAAGAGGAAATCCCTTTATTAAATAAATTCTAGGTACAATCATATATTGAATGACAAATTCACAAATAAAGAAGACAGATATTAATTAATATTTAGATGAATGAGTTCAGTTCTAAGACAATGAAATCCAAGAATGGGGTAAAGCTTGCGCCAATGCAATACAAATATTTCCATAACGAAATCCAATGTTTTTATGTTGTGTGAAAGATACATATAACATATCATTGAACCGTGTCACACCCAAAAGAGTCACGCCAATCTAGCATTTTAAGAGTAGCTGCATAATGTGCTAATGCACCAATCACAACCAGAACATGAAATATCTGATGACTATGTCCTGCCAAGTCAAACCAACCAGGCTTCCACCTTTCTGGTATGCGTGTCACATAGAATAATGTCCCTGTCAAGTAAGATAAGGCCATTGTACATTCAAATGCTAAGGTCACATTGCGCCGTGGATTACCCCAATTCACAATGCATGCATGGATTGCTGGCACAATACCAAAAAGTCCCATTGAACAGAACAACATGGCACGAAATGCACGGTATTTGCCAGTTGAAAGTGTTGGGGAAAGCAATGTTGCAATTGTGAATAGTCCCATGACTGTGATCCCAACAAGGTAGAGGAGTTGCCAATGTGGTTGACATAGGAAAATGTAGTAAATCTGAGGGAAAAATGAGGTTATGATCATGACAGCTATCCCAACATAGTCTATTCGCAACAGAAACAGGTTTAAGTTGTAGGAGTGACAAGAAAAGAGGTGACAAATGCTGCTAGACAAGAGACAGAACATAGAGCCACCTAAGAAAACAAAGAATGGCCACCTTGCTGTAACCAGCTCCGTAGATTCAAGTTCCATTTTCAAAGGTACTTGATGTTTTAAATCAAAGAGTAACGCTGTTCCCTGCAAGTTCTTACAATGTTAAGTCTTAAAAATACTAATTATCTGTTTGTAATGTTATCATGAGGCCACTTACCAGCAACAGATCTTTGATGTTATGAGAAACATTTTTTTCAACACTTGAAGAAAAAGACCTACAAAGATGATAAGCAAATTTAGTTGACAATTCTTGTAAAAGCTACTATGCGATTAGCTAGGTACGTAGTTCACCTAATATAAATCATCATCCACACTGGCTAATATATAACGACAAAAAAAGGTAGAAGCTGATGCTAATTCATGGAATTGATGTTTGACAAAGCAATATGCTGAGTATCCTTGTTCAAGTTTATTACCTGTCTACCAAAAATTGAATAGAAACTTTGGTACTTCAACTGGATGATTTACTAAGCTTCAGTTTAAATTAATCCCTCGAGTTCTATCTGTTAATTATTTGTGAATCAAACTGGTATTCAATAAACCATTTCCATATTTTGCCTGCTTTGAGTGTGAAACAATGGCTGATATGAGCTTGTTACAAAAAATTTCTTAATTTTTAGATTTTCTACTAATTATACGTTTCAATTGATTACGCAAGCAGATTCAGTATGTGTCTGTTTATTCTAAATTTCTACACGGCACCAACTGCTGGCAACATGCTAACATATACTTTGTGTGACATGAGGAACATATTTTGGTTCTCTCAGCATCTGACAGTATGCAGATAAAAGTTCAAATTAAACCAAAAGCTTAAACTATTAGGGGAAGACAGATATAATATAGAAAATCATGTCTTAATACAGGAATTGACACCTTATCTTATAGGTTTGTCATCATCAACACAAACACACACCAATACAGGAATTGATCCTTTCATGTCTCATGTCAACATAAACTCAACATGTGAGACAATCTCAACATCTCTTGATTTATTTATGGACAGCTTACAACGAAACATGAAAGGATCCATTCTCACACAGAATAGAATTTTAGGGGGAAAAAAAGGCTATGAAAAAACCTGGTAAATAGGCCTAAGAGATCCACCACATGAGGCTTCATCAAATTCGCCAGGGTCAATCCCAGAAACAGAAAAAACCCAATTAAATGCCTGAAAAGAGAATAACAGATAAAACAAATAAATAACGTTAGTCATGTCAAAAAAAAAAAAAAAAAAAAAAAAAAAACAAGAATCAAGGAGCTTCATCAAAAAAGGGTATAAGAAAAAGGAAAAACTTGATTAGCTTACGTCCAAACATTTAAAGTTTCATTATGCCAACGAAAGAGGCTGAAGAGAGCTTGTTTGAGAGGCCAATTGGCTCTGTAATAACGTAGAATATATTCATTGTCCTTCATGTAATCCGGAAGCTCCCAAAACGACAGAAGAGGGTAGCGTTTGGCTCTGTTCCTGTCATGCTGTGATGACATGTTGTTATTCTTGGACTGTGTAAAAGACAATGTTTCTTTGCCTTTCCGCTTCACAACAGATTTTGTCTCACTATAGTTCATCGCCCTTTTGCCACCACCAGATATGGTTTTCAAAGCCTTGTAATGTGATGTATGTAATATATTTCTCTTTCTCTCTCTCTCTTTTGGTCTTGGTCTTTTTGTGTGTGGTGGTGGTGGCTACTTGTTGATGCAGTAATGGAGGCTACACAACTGCACCAACTGCAGCATTTAAGGACTCTCCCCGTAAGGTTTGGCACTATTCTTTGGTGTTTGTTAATAGCTGGAGTTTAAAAGCATTGCCTTATTTATTTCATTTTTGACAGGTCAATATCTAAAATTTGGTCACTTATAAATTCACCTACTTTTTTCGTGGAGTGTAGGCTACAGCTATCGTTTTTTATAATTTAATTAATGTTCATAAATCATAAATATAATTTAACAAAACCTTAAGACAAGACAGTTCTTGCATTATTTTTACTATATCAAGTTAGTTATATGCGTGCCTTTGATTCTTGCAATTGTAAGGTTTTAAACAAATATATGAAAGTTACTCATTAATGTTTCGTGAACTTCAATTCATCAATATGTTGTTAATGTAGAAATTTATAGTATTCAACTTACTTGTTATTATAGTAAGAAAGAAATATTTTATTTGTGAAAAGTATTATTTTTTGTAAGCAATTTACTCTTATATAATAAATTAAGTTCTCAGTCATTAATGTATTCTCTTCTTCTTTAAGACACGTGATTTGAGTGTTGTCTAGCATCTTTTTTTTCTAACGTCTTTTAAAATAAAGCTAAAGTATTGATTATTTTCAAATTGATTTTACATTAAAAAAGATTTTATCCGTTTCTATTCTCAAAATAATTATTTTTAACTTTTAATCAAACTTTATTATTCTATCTAAACCTAAATTATTTATACTTTTAAATTTTTTTATTAAAATTTATTAAATTGTTTCCTCCAAATCTTAACTATTCCACTCTTATATATTAAATTAGAATATATAATCTTAATGTGATAAAGATGCGACTCATTCTTAATTCTTTTTCTTATTGAATTTTATATACTAATTTTTTAATTAATTACACATACTTTTTGTAATTTTAATTTTTTTTATCTATAACTTTAGAAATTCATCTGAATTAATTATATATATATATATATATATTATAATTTCAAATATTTATCCTTTTAATTTATTCTCTTAAAATTTTACTTAAATTTAAAGCATTTGAAATCCAAATAATATATTAATCTGATCTCTCATACGCGAGATAGAAGCCCATATCAGGAAAAACCCAAAATCATTATTTAACCCAGAAGTAATATCTCGCAAAAATACCTTATAAGCCAGTAGAACTAGACAACGTGGAACACAACAAGATCAGATCCTCAAAGCAAATGGATCTCTGCGAGATCCAATAACTACATACCAACACCCACTTGCCTTAAACATACTCAAAGACGTAACCTAAAAGCATCATTACATGCGATATATCCTAGCAAGCAGCTACTAGGCTGCCACTTTCCACCAATGAGGTTGGACACTGCCACATAAAAACGGCATAAACGGAGGCACCATTCTACTATAAATACCACAGCATTCTACCTTAGCAAGATGATCTCTCTTTCGTCATTGAAGGTAGTAAAAACATCAAATCACTATGAACCACTAGCTTCTTGATTCTCACCTCCTTATCATCTCCCTAAACACTATTTTTCCCCTTTCGTTCACCAACATCATTCGACTCAATCGTGTGTGATCCAGTCCAATTGATATTGGACTAATGATATACCAAAATATCTTATGCTATATAACAATAGTATACATGGTTGCGAAGCTAGGGCATCTACAGTGGTTGGTCAAGTTTATCAACTCTCCTTATGTTGATATTTGTCCTATGGCATTTTTTAATTTTATTTTGTTTTATTATTATTATTATTATTTTAGAAAGAAGGTTTTGTTTGTTTAGGTAATAGGACCGAGGTCCACTCCTATCGCAGATTATTATAAAATAAAAGAGTAATTTTTTATTTTATTTTTTTGGTACATAAAAGAGTAATTTTATTCGCACAAATGATCCTATATTTACACAATTTTTATGATCTGATTAAAATTGATATATTTCAATTTTTTATCAATTTTTCAGAGTAAATACCCTTTTTAGCCCCTGGCAATATCCATGTAGTCCTTTTCAGTCCCTAGCAATAAAAAAGAAACAAATTGGTACTTGAAATAACAAAAAAAGGGCCACGTTGATCCTTCTGTTAACTCCCCCGTAACGGCCAAACTAACGGTGTCCATGTAGCACGTTAGTGTGCTGACGCGGCTTGGATGTTTGACAGCATGGAAGAAGAGACGACGACGTTTTGTTGCAAATGGGTTGAGAGCTTTTCAAATTAGCGGACGACGTCGTTTCTTGAGTTGAGAATGAACCCTGAAGATGAAAATCGCCCAAAATGCTCAATCGAACCCTAAACACCAAAATCCCCCAAATTAATGAAATGAACCGTAGACAGAAATAAGCCCCCAAATTCTCCGGACGTTGATGACCGAAAATCGACGACAGTGATGTTTTCCAAATTAGAGTTTATGCGATCACAGATATATATAGATATAGTTCTTATTTATATTTCCATCTTGATTTGTCTCAAGGTCATGGATGCACGTGGTGAGAAATCACTAGCTCTATTTCCTGCTAAATTTCAGAAAAGCATGTGGATAAAACAAGGTTTGTCCTATTTAAGAAGCAATGCAATACTTATTGTTTTAACTTGTTACTCAATATGTTATTTATTTTCTTTTATTAATTGTTTTATTGATAGTGTTATGTCTTTCTCGTTGAACCAATGATTTTGTGTTATCACTAGGCTCCAGACATGATTGAAAGTATGATCAATCTCAATCATAGAATGGATAGGGGCTCTCTTGTCAACTGTAACTAGCTAGATGTGTTTCATTATTCAAGAATTGGGAAAATTCTTTTATGCTAATAATGAGTTAGTCCGTATCACTCCACTAACCCATTTTGTCAATCAATCTGTTTTATCAAACTTGAACATATTTATAGTCTGTAGACTCTATACTGCTTGAAACATTGATTGTGGGCTATTTGCATTATCTGGGGAATTGGCTAGAGAACCATCTATTCATCTACGTTCAAGCCATCAACCAAAAAATTTGAGGTTGAAACATGATCTAAAAATTGAAATGTCTATTGAGTTTTCAAAACTATTACTTTCTTGGTCTGGCTTCACATCGTTGATCAACCAACCCCATATGCTTGCTCAATGTGTAGGGAGCTTTGTTGTAGTTGATTAAAGTGGAAATGAGAAGGCTCTTGAATCAGGTAGCAAGGTTGCATGTCTTGTTTCTCAAGTTCTTTTCTATGAACAAGTCCGAGCACTACAGAAATCTTCAAAATGGTGTGCACTTGTTTACAGCTCTGATTTACTTGCATTGTGCTCCCTTGTTGAATAATCATATACTGCTTTCTACATTGAACTTGGATTTTATATGCCTGCCATATAGGCCTGAAATTTTTAAATATGGGATGGTAGATGATTCAAATGAAAGAACTACCTCCGAAAAAGGGAATGAGACGGATGCCAGTGATGATGATGGACTACCTCCGTTTGAAGCCAATACAAATAGGATGAGACATATTGAGCTGCAAGCTAAGGAAGATTCAGAATCTAGTTCGGATAAAGATGATTGATTTATCTAGTCAGGCTCCCACGCTTGTATAATGAATACATTCAAGTTCTTTAGACAATGCATGTGAAAAATTGTTTCTGTCCTGTCTTTATGGGCTAATTGCTCTGAATATGTGATTGCATTGACTTGTGAAATTATAAAACACAATGGACAAATCATTTGCTTGATAATTTTACACCTCATAACATGAATAATATATTACGGAGAGATAAATGAAAATGTGGAAGTAATTGTGAGCCGCTTCATAAACTCTAATTTGGGGAGATCAACTGGGAGTACTTCAATAGGGGGAAGAACACTGACAAGGACCGCCGGTCGTAAGTGCAAATGTGGGAGACAAAGTATTGTCTATACCTCCAAAACTGAGAGAAACCTAAACAGGGCTTTCCTTGGGTGTCCTAATTTCAAGGTATACATGTGTAATCTGCCCCTTTATTAAGTTGAAACACTTGCTAATCGTGGTTTGTTTTTTTGGCAGGAGAAGAAGCTGTTTTGTGATTTTTTTAGATGGGTAGATGACGTCTGTAATGAACGGATGGAGCTGGAAGATGCAACAATTCACAATGTGGAGTTGGATGTTGCTAAAATTAATTTCAAGTTGAAGTATGTGGACATGATGATGAAAGAGCAAGATGTGAAGATTAGTGAGCAAGAAATTAAGCTTCATGAGCAGGAAAAAAAGCTGAATGATCTATACCTGAAGATGGTGGAGGAGTTAGATAGGATGGACAAACAAATTAGGAATGTTGGTAGGTCAGCTAGGGTCTTAGGTGCTTCTTGTATAGGTGTGATCGTCATGTGTATGTTTGTTGTTAGTGTTGTAACATTCAAAACAAGTTACCCCAATGTATTTTTTCTTCAATAGTGTAATGAGTACTCAGTAATCTTGTTATCCAAATTAATGAAGAAGGATGTATTATATGGCCTATTCTGTGTTGGTTGGAATCTGTCTGCATCATACATTTCTGGATTAATAATAAAGAAGCTTTGAATGTATTCCTTTATGTCTGATTGCATCATATATTTGTGTATTCAATGCCATCTCAATGCTATTTTTGTTGTAGTATGGTATATTGCATACTTAGGCATGGAATGAATGTGTCAGTTTGCTGCATTGTATCACAAACCAGAATGTACAGATATAGATGTCTAAATCAAGAAATTGCTGTTACACAAGTTCCATGTTGGATATTAGATTTGTCAATCATGCCAAAACACGAGGGCCATTTTGGTCCCTGACAAATTGCACAAGGACCTTTTTGGTCCCTGACAAAAAGCACGGGGCCCTTATTGGTCCCTAACCAGAGAAAAATAGGCACATGACTTCATTGATTTTCTATGCATTCCAAGTTTACAAAATAGATGTGCAGAATGTACACATACAGGAGTGCTGTCCAATTTGTTAAAACAGAAGACATTGATGTCCAACTATAATTACAGATCTAGTTTCTTTTGTTGAGCAGGAGCTATTTTACCCCTGATATTTCTTAAAACCCTTTGATGTGCTTCCATCCTCCTCATAATGTAGCACCTCAATTCCTCTAAGAGACGACGTCGTCCGCTAATTTGGAAAGCTCTCAACAGGTCGTCGATTTTCGATCATCAACGTCCGGAGAATTTGGGGGTTTATTTCTGTTTAGGGTTCATTTCATCAATTTGGGGGATTTTGGTGTTTAGGGTTCGACTGAGCATTCTGGGCGATTTTCATCTTCAGGGTTCATTCTCAACGCAAGAAACGACGTTGTCCACTAATTTGGAAAGCTCTCAACCCATTTGCAACAAAACGTCATCGTCTCTTCTTCCATGCTGTCAAACTTCCAAGCCACGTCAGCACACTAACGTGCCACATGGGCACCGTTAATTTGGCTGTTACGGGGGAGTTAACAAAAGGATCAACGTGGCCCCTTTTTTTTTATTTCATGGAGTAATTTGTCCATTTTTTATTGATAGGGACTGAAAATGATTTCGAGGATATTGTTAGGAACTAAAAAGGGTATTTACTCATTTTTTTTATATGTTTGTAGTCGGACTCGTTCAGACGCTTAACAAAAGTTTTTCTCATCATAAAAAAATATACAATATTATTATGCCTATCTTTTTTTATATCTATTCTATCTACTTATTTTCAATATTATTATATTAGAATCTCAATTAATTTTTATTTTTTCTCTCTCTTATTGAGATATCCAACAGTCTTAAAGATAACTAGGTAGAGTAGATAGAAAAAAATATAGACATAATATCTCATCTTCATAAAAAAAAATTAAAAAGTTAAGATTTTTATTTAATTTGAAAAAACAGTTAATCATAAATGGCTAATTAATTTAATGAAATGAAGTCATGATTTAATTAACTCGTTAATTATTTATTAGCTCCTTTCAAATTTAACATTTTAGCTTAATTCTCCCATTAAAATTCATTACATATGTTGAAGAATAAACCCGAATATTCTTTATTTTAAGCATAGGAGGAGTAAAGGAAGAAAGACGATTGGTCCACCAACCATTACAGTCTCCAAGACGTCATTATCAGTGTCAATGTGGTAATTCCCTCAACAATGTGAACGAACATGATTTAGTCATATCCCATAAACTGAAAGATACCAAAGACTGAGCTATAAAAATTTAAATAACGATGCTATGTGGTAAGATTTTTAAGACCAATTTGATGAGTTGTGTGGTACCAGGTACCTAAGATATAACGCGATCAACCAATACATGAAACCTACATTACTAGGTATTAAATTGTAATGCAAGCAAACTTCGCAATCCTACCGCTTATGGAGAACACATCCATTATCCAAACACATGCCATTCGAGTTCAGAGAAGGATAGTTATGAATTCTTCCATCAATAGGAAATAAAATAATGTGTGTCCTGGAAAGAAATTTGTCGGTTTTGTTAGATTCGTAGCTCAACCATATTAGCTATAAATGGGAATAAAAAAAAGACATAATATTCTCACTTTACGGGTAGGGAAGAACGGAACGTTTTGGACATTTACATTCTCTTTACATGTTCTATACAATTCCATGGACTAATATTGTTTTTTGTTTGGCTTCGTGAACTTAAATTTCCAATTAATACATGAGTTTTGCTTTGAATGCATAGCATAATGTAGTTGGCATTAATTGAGGCGAAATTAAATGTGAAGGCAATATTTTGTTGCTTTTGCGTTATGAAAATTTCTGTTTATAAGTGTATTATAAGAATATCTATTTAACTTGATACTTATAATTTATTTTTTTTAATAATTTCTTCTGATTATTTTTTTATCGTTTGATCAAAATTATAATTTATTTTGAAGTTTACATTTCTGCAGCTGCGTGCAGCAATCAAATACTTGTCATTTATATACTTCAAAGCATTAAATGCGGGAAATCATAACCATACAACAGATGAAAACATTAAATGTGGGAAATCATAATCATACACATGTCGTTGTTGTACGTAAAGCGGCTATAGAAATGATTTTACCATTTATTTTTCCTTATAACTTTATATGATTACTTTTTTTATCATGCCATCAAAATTAAATTAACAGTTGTCACTTGATATTATTTTATAATTATTGATTTAATTTTGATTTAATAAAAAAATTATAAGAGGTTATAAAGAAGAAAAAAATTAATATTATTTATATAAAAAAAGGCATATCCTCATTATATATCTGAAAGTAGTTTCTATTAACACTATTCTAACAACATTTATTATGTCGAAATCACTTTGCAAATAATTTTTTCTAATCAAAAATGAATTTTACTCAAATTTAAATTTAATTAAAATTAATTTTACAAAGTTAACTTTATCCAAAATCGAGTTTGCAATTATTGATCCAAATACACTAAGTTGTTTAAAAGACTAAATATAATTATATCTCAAGGGATGAACCTATCTTATACAATTATTTATCCTAATTCAGAAAGTTATATTAAGGATCAGGAATTCTGTATAATTATCTGAGAAATTTATAATAAATTATGTAAAATGTAATATAGAAAGTGGATTGACGTTAGTTGGTGGAGGCTCAACTGCTACCAACCTACGTGCTATCTTATCATTGAGTGATGAGCGAGTTAACAGGACAATTAGGCGACAGGTGGCTTACTCTGGGTTTTAGACCCTCAACTCAAGAATCTACGCACGCAACCATAAATTATATTTGCCCTGCGTTATAGCCAAAACGCAAAAATGGTTTATGTTTTGTGAAGATGTTAAATGAATTGCAACTCTCTCTTCAATAACAATAATTTAGAGTAGATAAATGGAACAGCCCTTTCTTACAAAAGATTTGTAAAAAATTTTGGGATACACTACCCAAAAGCTAGCTTAAAAGGTGGGATGTCCAAGGCCTTATAAAGGCGACATTAGTTACCCACACAATCAGTGGGAGTGTCCAAGGCCTTATAAAGGCGACATTAGTTACCCAACACAATCAATGAGAGACTATATATCTCAACACGCCCCCTCATGCAAGAGTACTTTAGGCTAGAAGGGTGAAATTGCACAGGCACAATTTTTGGTTTATCTTTTTGTGCTTTTTATTTTAATACCACTTAAAAGTTGGGGGCCGTGAGAATCGAACTTGTGACTTTATGGTCACTCAAACTGTCTGATACCATGTAAAAAACTTTGGGATACACCACCCAAAAACTAACTCAAAGGGTAGGAGTGTCCAAAGCTTTATAAAAGTCACATTAGTTACCCACACAATAAATGTGAGACTATATATCTCAACAAACTTATTTGCAAAATTAGCTGGTCCAATATAGTTAGCCGAAAAATAACATCATCCTGTTTAATTATTAGACGGACCAACTTGAAACAAAATAACAAAGGAAAATTTAATAGGTTTTTTGCATTTTTCTACTAAAATATGGAGATGGAAAATTAGTTGAGAGTTCACTTGTATTAATAGTTAGAAGTCAAAGCCTCTGCCCATGTCCTAAAAAGAATTGCACCTTGGACGGGACGCGTAGATGTGTATGGGATTCAAGTCAATACATCCTTATGGCAAAATGTCACTGTACGGACAGATAGCTTTTACATAACTCTTAATTTCAAAATCAGGGAAGTCAACTGAGCAACGGAGAACAAATGAAACGAAATATTATGGGCAACTTATATTCGAAACCAATAATGCCACAAGACAAATCAAAAATGTATTTTGACACTCAAGGCATCATACATTGTTCGAGTAGAAACGATCTGCTTTCTTTATGATTCACAAAGTTCTAGCACAATGATAATTGTTGACCTAAACCGAACCTTCTATACTCTTGGTACTGGATTCTTCTGTATTCTGAGTTTTTGATTTCAACCTCGTAATCTTTATTTATTATAGATTTAACATGACTGAAAGGGAAATGGGAAAAGAAAAGTATTTTGAGTATAAGAGTAAGTTTGACTTCCAGCGATACTGTGACCACGAGAAAGGCCAAGGTAATATAGAAAAATAGAAACAAGGCATGCAGATAGAAATGAGACTCGGCCTTATGTATTAAAAATGTAACATCTAGATACTATTAGACTTATATTTGTGTATAAATTTACTTCTTTATTTTATTTTTTTCCTTTTCTTACTTTCATGTAAAGTGATGCCACCTCACAGGATGTTACAAAACCAGTGTGGGAAACCTGTGCGTGAGAAAGTGATTGAAGGAATTCTGTTATTCAATTTTTCTTCATGTTTCTGCACTCTACCTTCTAACAGATACAAAACTAAGAGGCACCACAAGTGGAACAAGAGGAAATATGCTTCATGGGGCAAGGTTGTGACAAAGAGAATGATTATGGAAGTCACAGAGGAGGGAAAAGGAAAAGAGCATTATGAACATTATGGACAAATGTCAGATTATCAGATTATTAGTAGGTTTCACAGAAGACCACAAGGGGGCGTTTGGTACAGGAGAAATATTTATTTGTCCGGGAATCTCGATTTTCAAAAATATGACTTTTGCATTCAGTTTACGATAATATCTGAAAATTTAAAATTTAGAAAAATTCAATTTTCTGAGAATCTCTCAAAATTCCGCGTACCAAACGCTCCCTAAGAGTCATAACAAAACACAAATGACTTTCATCCCTTGAGATATCCTACTTTTTCCATCAAAGCCTGGATGTCAGCACTACTACTCTACTCAATATCCTACTTTCTAATGGCATGACATCTGAAAGAGGATAGCTTCTGCTATTATAGAGTTGACTAATTCCACCGCTTCCGAGTCCCTTCAATATCACAGTTTTGTGTAAGCCACCAAGCAGTCCTTCATAATCTATGTCGCCATATTCTCCCACAAACACCACCATCTTTGACAGATCAAAACCCCATCGAACACACAGGTATCTAAAGGAAAAAAGCACATAAAGCCATCAGATGTCAGAGCAAAATTAAGCAATAAAACTGTCGAGAGTCACAACAGCCAAAAAGAGGAAATCACGCGAGAGAAAAGTGTGATAGTTCCTAGATGCGGAAGAGCATGGCTGATAAATAGCATCCTGGTACATTTGCACACCCGTGAATATAAGAAAGAAATGAAGCAACTGTCCATATTCTCTCATGTCTCCATCCGAAAAAGGGAGAAAAGGAAACACCAACACATACAACAATACCAACTTTTGACACGATGGAATTTTGTAATATAGTCAACAATACCTGAGGGCTTGAGAACGAGATGCCAGTACTGGAATTACGTTCAGTCTTGTCCCATTCTCACAATATATAGGATGGCAACGTAGAGCTTGAATCCTCAGTACCTTACTAACCTCCTTCCCCGGAGGAGCCTGCAAAAATAAGACAAAACAAGAAAACTCTTAAAATCTTGAAGAAGAAAAAAACTGCACAAAAATTCCCCTCAGAATCTTAAAAACTAACAAAATTGCTATTTATACAAAATCATTAAAAACTAGAATGAAAAATTACCATTCCTAGCTTTCACATATCGAAACAGTAGTCAGTAGAAATAGAAATGTAATTTGTTCATCACTCTCACCCTTCTTACTATTGACTGAATCTGCCCAACATACTAGACTAAACACATAGAGATCGATATCATCTTGTTCAGGAAGATATTACCAAAAGAAGACTTCAAACTTTCTCTGTTTCTTCTTCTCAACAATTGGTTGATATCCTTACAAAAGCTCTCCTCCCTACACAGTTTCACACTCTTCTTTCAAAGATGGGAGTTCATAATATTTACTCTCCATCTTGAGGGGGAGTATTAGACTTATATTTGTGTATAAATTTACTTCATTATTTTTCTTTTCTTTTCTTACTTTCATGTAAAGTGATGCCACCTCACAGGTTATTATAATCGTTTTGCTTATTCATAGATATATAGGTGTAATCCATTTGTACAAAACCAGTGCGTGACCTGTGCGTGAGAAAGTGATTGAATGAATTCTGTTATTCAATTTTTCTTCTATCTTCTAACAGATACAAAACTAGGAGGCACCACAAGTGGAACAAGAGGAAATATGCTTCATGGGGCAAGGTTGTGACAAAGAGAATGATTATGAAAGTTAGAGAGGAGGGAGAAGGAAAAAAACATTATGAACATTGTGGACAAATGTCAGATTATCAGATTATTAGTAGGTTTCACAGAAGACCAGAAGAGGCATAACAAAACACAGATGACTTTCATCCCTTGATATATCCTATTTTTTCCATCAAAGACTGGATGTCAGCACTGCTACTCTTGGGGCTGTCTAATGGCATGACATCTGAAAGAGGATAGCTTCTGCTATTAGAGTTGACTAATTCTACAGCTTCCAATTGGCAAGACATCTGAAAGAGGATAGCTTGATAGAGTTGACTAATTCTACCGCTTCCGAGTCCCTTCAATATCACAGTTTTGTGTAAGCCACCAAGCAGTCCTTCATAATCTGTGTCACCGTATTCTCCAACAAACACCACCATCTTTGACGGATCAAAACCCCATCGAGCACACAGGTATCTAAAGGAAAAGCACATAAAGCCATCAGATGTCAGTACAAAATTAAGCAATAAAACTGTCAAGAGTCACAACAGCCAAAAAGAGGAAATCATGCAAGAGAAAAGTGTGATAATTCCTAGATGCGGAAGAGCATGGTTGAGAAATTGCTCTGTCCTGGAACATTTGCACATCCGTGAATATAAGAAAGGAATAGAGCAACTGTCCATATCCTCTCATCCCTCCATCACCGAAAAAAGGAGAAAAGGAGACGCCAATACATACAACAATACAAACTTTTGGCATGATGAAATTTCTGGAATAGAGTCAACAATACCTGAGGGCTGGGGAACAAGATGCCAGTACTGGATTACATTCAGTCTTGTCTCATTCTCACAATATATAGGATGGCAATACAGAGCTTGAATCCTCAGTAGGAACCTGCAAAAATAAGACAAAACAAGAAAACTCAGAAAATCTTGAAGAAGAAAAAAACCTGCACAAAAATTACTTCAGAATCTTAAAAACTAACAATGATGCTATTTATACAAAATCATTAACAACTAGAATGAAAAATTACCATTACTGGCTTTGCACATCGAAAGCATAACAGTAGTCAGTGGAAATGTTTTCAGCAGGGCTCACAATTTGTTCATCACTCTCACCCTTCTTACTATTGATTGAATCTGGCCAACTTACTAAAAGGTTGTTGAATAGCAATGCGTATCCTGTATCGCTTGGCCGATTTTTTGTATCTTGTATTGTGAATCTGAATCATAAGATACAGAAATATAATAAAAAATAATTTAAAAATACATATTAAAATATTAATTTAATTATTTCCTTTATTAATACAAATTTTTCAGATTGGTTTTTGAATTTAAATCACAAATCAAATCTTTATTTTTTTCCTTATTAATAATAATTTTTTAATTGTTTTAATTTAAATCATAAATTAAATATTAATTCCTTTTTTTCATATTAAAAATTACAAATTTTAATTTAATTTTCATACGATATCGTATCGTCCGATACAACACACTTTCCGATACAACCCACGATACATATTGTTATGCTACTGAATCGTATCGTACGAGTCATATTGCGTATCGTACAATACTGAAAAATATGCACTAAATACACATAGATTGATTGTCATATTGTTTGGGAACATATTACCAAAGGAAGACTTCAAACTTTCTCTGTTTCTTCTTCTCAACAATTGACTGATATCCTTACAAAAGCTCTCCACCCTACACAGTTTCACACTCTTCTTTCAAAGAGTTCATAATATTTACTCTCCATCTTTGGGGGATTATTAGACTTCTATTTGTGTATAAATTTGCTTTATTTTTATTTATTTTCTTACTTTCATGTAAAGTGATGCCACCTCACAGGTTGTTATAACCGTCTTGTTTATTCATAGATATATAGGTGGATTCCATTTGTACAAAACCAGTGCGTGAGAAAGTGATTGAAGGAATTTGTTATTCAATTTTTCTTCATGTTTCTGCGCTCTACCTTCTAACAAATACAAAACTAAGAGGCACCACAAGTGGAACAAGAGGAAATATACTATATGGGGCAAGGTTGTGACAAAGAGAATGAAGAAAAAAGCATTATAAACATTGTGGACAAATGTCATATTATCATATTATTAGTAGGTTTCACAAGACCACAAAAGGCATAACAAAACCCAAATGGCTTTCATCCCTTGAGATATCCTACTTTTTCTATCAAAGCCTGGATGTCAGCACTGCTACTCTCCTCCGTTGCCTCAACGATGTTGGGGCTGTCTAATGGCATGACATCTGAAAGAGGATAGCTTCTGCTATTATAGAGTTGACTAATTCCACCGCTTCCGAGTCCCTTCAATATCACAGTTTTGTGTATGCCACCAAGCAGTCCTTCATAATCCGTGTCACCATATTCTCCAACAAACACCACCATCTTTGACAGATCAAAACCCCATCGAACACACAGGTATCTAAAGGAAAAGCACATTAAGCCATCAGATGTCAGAACAAAATTAAGCAATAAAACTGTCAAGACTCACACCAGCCAAAAAGAGGAAATCACTCTAGAGAAAAGTATAATAGTTCCTAGATGCAGAAGAGCAAGGCTGATAAATTGCTTCTGTCCTGGCACATTTGCGCATCCGTGAATATAAGAAATGCAGCAACTGTCTATATCCTCTCATCCCCAAAAAGGGAGAAAAGGAGACGCCAATACATATAACAATACCAACTTTTGGCAATATGGAATTTTTGGAATAGAGTCAACAATACCTGAGGGCTTGGGAACGAGATGCCAGTACTGGAATTACGTTCAGTCTTGTCCCATTCTCACAATATATAGGATGGCAACGCAGAGCTTGAATCCTCAGTACTTTACGAACCTCCTTCATGGGAGGGGCCTGCAAAAATAAGACAAAACAAGAAAACTCAGAAAATCTGGAAAAAAAACAAAAACAAACCTCCACAAAAAATTCCTCTCAGAATCTCAAAAACTAACAACGATGCTATTTATACAAAATTATTAACAACTAGAATGAAAAATTACCATTTCTGGCTTTCGCACATTGAAAGCATAACAGTAGTCAGTAGAAATGTTTTCAGCAGGGCTCACAATTTGTTCATCACTCTCACCCTTCTTACTATTGACTGAATCTGCCCAACGTACTAAAGTCTTTCTTAACCCTTCTCCGCCCCAACGGTATTCAATGTGTGAGTGGTAATACAAGTCAACCACAAATGAACGATCTTCAGGATTGTGGGATGGATAGTAGAGATCACTGCCACTACTGCAAATATAAGCATCAAAATCATTGGGACTCGAACCATTTGCCATCATACATGCCTGTATCTCAAATATGTTTAATGATGTAGACAATATGAACCCTACAGAACCCTCAGCCCTCTCCTTTCCAGCAGACTCAAAGATGAGTTTAATGATTTCACAAAGTTCAGAAGTGTTATGAAAATCCACGGCAATGACAAAGAGATGCTTCCTTCTCCTCAATGGCGGAAATTTACCAGCATTTGAATGTTGATCTAACTTGTCTGTAGCCCCACCCCTGCGCGTGTCCTTAGAGATGCCCCTTGACCATGACAAAACAGCATTTTCTAATTTAGCGCTTCTATCAGCAGTGCTTCTATCAGTAGCATTTCCATCAGGATCCAAAGAATTATCATTTCCACTACCCCCACTCTTCTCTCCATCCAATGAAAACTTCAAGTTGAGAGATAAGTCCTGTATATCTCTCAAGGAATCACTGGGTGATTCTGATTCTGAACTTTCGCCTCCATCCTCACTTCGCTGCCATTGTGGATGCCTTGGTTTGCAAGCGGCTATTCTAGACAGGTAAGTCTTACAATGCTCAGGCCATGAAAATAAATGAATATTCTTCAACCCGTTCTGTCTACATTTTGCCCAGAGTTGCTTGTTGCTAACAAGCTTCAAAAGAGCATCTGCAATAGACTGCTGATCATGGGGATCTACAAGCAGACCATTGTCAAGTACCTGTTTTAATAACCAACCAGTCAAGGAAGTTCCAAGGAAACTTTTTCAAATTAATGCATAACCAGTAATCAGTAAGCATACCCGATGAATATCAACAGGACCTCCATTTTTAGTAGCAACCATTGGCAAACCATGAGCAGCTGCCTGTTTAACAAATACGTAAGTTAATGTTTACACCTCCAAAAAGAAATCAACCAATAATAAACAATTATAGATTCAGAAGATCACCTCAATTAAGGTCAGACCAAATGGCTCAATGAAAGCTGGATTAATAAAAACACCCTGCATAGATATTGGATCTAAATGAAATGTAAAATGACAAGATAGCTTGCATGGGAAAGAGAATTAAACAAGATATGAAGTAAGTACATAGATTGACTCACAAAAGTGGAGTTTATTCACACGAGACTATTATACCACGAGAAATAAATAAAGACAAGAGGATGCATTCACACTAGACTATTATATCATGAAGAGGATGCATTCACACATGACGCTGTCTAATACAAATTGAAGAGGGGAGGGGGGGGGGGGGGGGGGGTATCCATGTATGCGGCTAGGTGCCAGTTATACCAATTTTCTCGTAATTCTTCCTGAAACTTGAATTGACACATCACCATTTATTCCAATCAAATCGATAGGGTTACCTTAGTCTTTGCTGCTAGACGATATATGTCAGGAACATCAGATTGTTTGTGGTGTTTAGGATATGCTACTTGCCCATACAGATTATACTTGTCAATCAGTTTAAGAACTGAGAGAAGAACAGAAGCACTTGTGCTTGACATTTCGTCAATTCCGTCTCGGTTACCCATAATTAACGTCTGCAAAGCCCAAAGGAGTGACAGATAATTGATCAGTCAAGCAATGCAAGTAAGCATATGGAAAATCGAGAACAAATGGTACTCAAATAAGTGCAGACTGGTCATTCATAGTTTCATACAAGGTTAGCAAGCTCTTGAAGCGGACGACATTCTCCAAATGCTTTCACCAAAGTTGTGATGTTCTTTTTGGGATCTGGTCTAGCAAGAGCAAGTATCATAGGCTTGCGAGGGTTGGTAAAGAAGCGCATTATCTGTTAATTACAAAGTTTAATTGGCATTAATTCCATTTTTGCATTGGATTTAGAAACAGAACTAGCTAGTCAAGTCAGATCTATTAAATTATAAAACAAAGGCACTGAACTGTCTAAATTATCCAGAAAGCATTAAAAGAAATGTAGAAAGCATTTTTTGAACCTCGGCCCAAATAGGTGGATCTTGGGGGGCGGGATGGTCCAAACTCCCTTCTGGTTCACCTTCTATATCACCATCTTGAGGAACAATATGATGGAACTCCATACCAGGTGGAATCACCTGCAATATACCATGAGATTTTAATATGTCATTTTACATTATATACCACTGACAATGAAATTTTACAAAAAAAATCTCGCATCTGGGACAGGACTACACAAAAAATGCTGTATACAAGAAGTACTATGCAAACTAGGAGCTCTGTCTATGGTCTTTCTAACCCAATGCATTGACATGAAAGAGACTTCCTCTGTCGGGTTTGTAGTCATACACACAAAATAAAGTTGTTCCTTTCCTGGACAAACTAATAAGCCATACCGGCACAAATGAAGATGGAAAATAAAACTCTGTCTCTCATCACAAGTTAAAATAAAAAATCTAAAACAAGAAAAACAGAGAATGTGCTCACAGATGGCCCGATCCAGTACAAATTAAACAACAAGAAAATTTGTTTTAAGTGCCAACTTAAACAGAAATGGTCAAATCAGTTACCAAGAGAGAAAAATGAGCTTACTCTATCTCAATGCAAAGGCATATAAACTTGAAATTTTAACCCTAGCCACCTGAGATCCATAACTCAAAATCATAATTGCCTAATTAGGTCCACACGGAAGGTCATTAAGATGTTGCATGAAAGTTTAATTGCAATCCAGTACTCACCGCCATGCGAGGCATGGATCTACCATAACAGCTCACATTACGCCTGATCCTTGCTCGTAGTTTACGCTCCAATACTGGATCAAAACCATCATACAAGCGCCATTGTTCTTCTATTTCCTGTCTAGTGCTTGTTATGACAACTTCAGTACAATCAAGGGCTAATTCCTCAGCTTCTATCCTACGCATAATCTTGTAAGTTGTGTTTATTTCATCCCTTGATAGTCGACCTTGCTTTAAAAGTTGTTCCAACTTATCTCGACCGAGTGAGTGGCCAGTAAAAAGCATTGGAACATTTAAAGCACCCGATAGAAGAGCAGCAGAGTCACCTGCATCTGCATAATGTCCATGGATGGCAACCGGCCAGACAGCATGCCCACTGCCAATTTGCTCCCCAAGAACTTTGGACATCTGTATAATGTGTTTGAGTGCTCCATCAACAAATTCAGGAATGTAAGGCCAGAGAAGTTCTTTCGGAATATATTTATCCCTTGGACCAAAGGGAATTCGAACGATGTAAGAACCACTGCTCTCTCCCATGTCATCTCCATAACCATCAGTGTTTCTTGGACTCAACATTTCTGTTGGTTCCCCATAGCTCCAATCCACATCCGGCGCCGAAACTTGTCTAGTTAGTAAATCAACCCGGTAAACTCCCGGCATTGATCCTAAAGCCCTTGCGAGTTCCACGACGTACTTAACCTATTTAACAGACAGACAGACAAACCGAAAGAATTTAGTTTCCCACATGACCAGGTAGAAATGAACAATTTTAAGAAAGTGCAGTACAGTGCAGCCAGCGCAGTAAAGTGGAACAAGATAACTGAAAATATGACCTACCTGACCACCAGTATCAGAATCACGTCCTAGCTCCATATTCTCACCTCGTATTAGGCCATGAATGCTGCACGTATACTCAGTTGTTAAAAATCAAGAGTAATCAAATCAAGAAACAAATAGAGTAAATAAAATATTAATCATAATAAGAGCTTGATTTAATTTGGCATTGATTTACATACATGAATGAATGATTGAATGAGAGTACCTTATGAGTACAATATAGAGCTTCTTTCCCTTCTGACTGTTAGCCCAAGACTCCATAGCATCAGCAGAACTGATTCTTGGCAATCTTGCTCTGCCGGCGTCGCCGCCGTGTGCGGAAACATCACTGACCGGATCTCCTTTCTCTCCTTCGGACAAATCTTCAGACATATCAGCAGTAGCTTCCCTGCGCCCTCTCTCGCGTTCGAGTCGACGCTTATTCACTCTATGCGCCGTCTCATTCTCAAGCTAATCAAATCCAACACACACACACACACACACACTCAGTATCATCACCACGATTCTCATCAACAACCAAAAGAAAAAGAGAATAATAATAATCGAACCTGCTTCTTCTGGCGAGCAACGTTCCAAATCCGCCAGCACATGTTCTCCAACCTGGTGTTCCTCTCCTGAGGACTCCTGGTCGAAGAAGCCTACAATATCAGGGCACAAAATCAGTGGAATCTCAATGAATTGAATGGAATAGAGCGAGAGAGAGAGAGAGAGAGAGAGAGTACCCGAACCCAAGAACGGTAGAGATCGGTCTCATCGAAACCGATAACCTCCTCGACGAAGTAGCGGGTAGGACTGAACCTGCCTCTTTCTCTGAGAAGAAGAGAGGACTTGGCATCATCGAGGCCAGGCCCAACGTCCAGTATCGCTTCCAGGTAGCTGTTCAGCCAATCGTTTCCTGCCATCTCTAGCTCTCTCTCCAACAACTGTTACTGTTACTGCTACTGCTACTTCTACTTCTTGATTATGCTTATTCTTATTCTTATGCTTTTAAAGAGACACTTCAAGAACAAGAAGTTTTTATTAAAGAAAAAAAGAATATTCGTATAGAGAGAGAAAACTCTGGAATTGGAGAGAGAGAGAGAGAGAGATGAGAGAAGAACTGTGTGTGCGGGAGCCTCTCCGCCTTTAAGCGGTTAAATTAAATTAAATGTATTTTTTTTGTATTTTAGTTTTGGTCCTAACAAGTCGTGTCAAGGAAGACGCTCACGCGAGCAATCCCTTGGCACTTGTCAGTTGTCAACTAGTTGTGATTGTTATGATGGGTTTTCTTTGTTGTGGTTACGAAATCTCTTATTATTTAAATTCTAAAAACTCATGTCTTTCTTTTTAATATTATTTTATGTCAGTTTATTACGGATTAAAAAAGTATTTAAGTTGTTTACAAAAAAAACATTTTAGTTTATGTTATTTTTATTTTGAATAAAGTACCATTGGTTGCTCAATAAAAATTATAGGGCTTAATTTAATTTTTTAGAAAAAAAAAAAATTGATTCGTGATTTCTCTGAATTCTAAAATAGACACTCTTAATCGAAATTGTGATTTCTTTAAAATTCAAAAAAAAACTTATATCAATTCTTTAAAAAAATTAACATAGATTTATTTTATAATTCAGTTGAATCATGAGTGGATTTTTTTTTTCAAAAAAAATTAACATAGCAGCTTATTTTTATTCTTTTAATTTGTTTTTGTTGTTGTCAAGTTTCTATGTGGATCGCAAGCAACGGCTTCACTTTTTATATAATCTTTTAATTTGTTATTATTATTTTTTTGTGGTAATGTTTATATGTGGATCTCAAGCAATAGCTTTATTGATAATATACTGGTTAATTGTTAAATCACAAGTATCATTTATCGTTGGATCGATTTTTTATCGTGAATTGTATAGATACAAAAATATAATAAAAAATAATTTAAAAATATATCATATCATTAATATCATATAAATTCAAATTTCAAAAATGATACAATAAGTAAAATACATAAGTAAACAAATTGTAACTCAATTATTATCCTACTCATCATCAATCATTAAGACTAATATTATCACTGATATTACTATTAGTATTTTTAGTGACATAACTAATCCAGCATCCTCTTCGTTAGGATAATCGTTTGACTCATGCCTCATTTATTATTCAATAATTCGAGGTCATTTTTTCTTATAATTTTTGAATTGTTTTCAAAAATAAAATATTTCTTCTTAGAGATTGAAGGAAATTATAATATTTATTTAATTTTTTATTTAGTAATACAGGTTCTTTCTATTGATTTCTGAATTTAAATCACAAATCAAATCTATATTTTTTATAATATATATATGTGTGTGCGCGCGCGTGTGACTTTACTTTTCTCCAACCACTTGACTTCTAGCAAATAAATTCGAGAAATCATAATCATACAAAGGTATGTGAAAATATTAAATGCAGGGAATTGTAGTCAATCAATGGTGTAAGGTTTATTGCTGAACGTCCAGCAGCAGGAGAAATAATTTTACCATATATATAATATATATGGGGCAGGTTCTTTTAGCATCAAATTTTAAATGTTGATTTTCGTGAATTTAACGTTTATAATTTATTAGGTCACAATTATTAATTAAAAAGTTTGACATCAATATTAAATGATCTTGTCTCTATATATATGTATATATATATATATGGGGAAAAAAAATTATACTGATATAAGAATAATATGTCTTACATTCAATTTAAATAATTGATCTTTTTATATAATGATTGTAATCTATTGAATTATATTTATTAATTAATTACTAATTTTTAATAAATTATAATGATTAGATGAAGAAAATCATTGCTGGAATACCATGTACACTTGTTATTCTTATTTTGATGCAATTTGGTTATTTCTTTTTTTTTTCTTTTTGGAGTTACCCAACCCTAATTATCTCTTTGAGACGAGTTGGCTCCCTCCGATATCCCCACGAGCTTCGACTCTTTGAGCCAGCTATGGGACTAATCCGGAGTGCGGGGGAACAGTGATGGCTAAAGGTTCAGCCCCCTCCCCAAGAATGCATTCAACGGGAATCGAACACATATCCAACCCCACTAACTCAGCGCCAAATTACCAACTGAGCTGCACCCATTGGGTGGTTATTTCTTCTATATGATTTATCTTTTGCTTTTTATATTTTTAAACTCATATTTAAAATTAAAATATATAAAATTAAAAAATGTATTTAAGTATAAGATTTAACTTTGACACATCAAATTTATCAGATTGCTAGCAGTTCACAAGTAAAAAATGAGCTAAACTTAAATTTAAAAAATTAACTCAGTTTTTAAAAAATGAATTCGTTTCACCATTACTCCTAACCAAAAGTGAATTTCTAGACCCAAAAAATTCAAAGGTTACCTGGAAAAAAATGTCAAGCCGCGGACTAAGGTAAATAATGCCCTCTTATTATGTAGGTAAAATATCCATCTTTGTATTTAACAACAACAAAAAAATATTCATTTTGTATGGTTATGATTTATGATTCTCCAAATTTAATTGTTATATATACAGTAGCTACAGAAACAACAACCTATATATATATATATATATATATATATATATATATATATATATATATAAAATAGAAAATGGTTGTTATTAATATAATTTGAGCACATGAATTATTTTTATTTGTATTTGTAATTTTACAATTTATCGATACTTGTGTATTTAGTAATAAAAATGAAAAAAAATCAAATTAACTGTTTATATTTCTAAATGTTACATTTCATATAAGACTTACTAAAGTATTGTAACACGTCAATTATTATTCAAAGTATTTTTGGAAAATTTTAAATTTTAATAATTTTTCCTTTGAATATATTCAAAGGTGGATTCTAACAACTCTTTTAATCAGATTGTCATTTCACATTAATCCTTCGCTTGTCCAAAGAGTCAATGTTTCATTATTATATATAATAAAAGAAGTCTACAAAAAAAAAACTAGGAGAATACGGGACTCATGGCATACTTTAAAGTGCAAATATTTTTGTAAGTGAATAATAAAAAGAATAATCACTTTTGTTGATAAATATTTAAAGTTATTATTTAAATATTACAAATAATAAATATCAAATAAAAATATAAGATTTATTTATTAAAAAATTCATAAAAATATTAAATACTTTTAATTATTACCTTACAAATATTTTTTTAACAAAATTTTAAAATAATAATAATATAATGCGGATGCGTCTGCTTTCCTATTAAAATGATATCCTGGTTTTTGGAAATACTAAAATACCCTTGAATTGAAAGGTATACATCGTTTTTGGACCTACTTTTCACGGGTTTAGTATATGATCTCAATTATTAGACTACAATTTTATTAAACAATCAGGATTAACCAATTTACGAAACCAATATGCTTACGAAAACAATAGTGATTAAATAACATTACGAAAACACGCATTTTTTTTTTTTTTGGTACGAGGTATCCCCGTTCAACATCTCCGGGTAGGGGTGTTCATCAACCGATCCAAACCGATTCAAACCGCGAAAACCGAACCGAAAAATCGAATAAACCGAAAATCGAAAAATCGGAAACCGAAAGAAAACCGCAAATTTTAATTGGATTGGATCGGTTTTCGGATGGGTTGATGCAAACCGATCCAATCCAAACCGATCCAATATATTAATTATCCTCTACCTACTTGTCTTTTCTCCAATCATAGCCCAAAAATTTCTAAACTCAAGACCCATTAACTCACCAACTAAACCCAAAAAAAAACTTAGTCACCTCTCATCAACTATAGTATTGTTTACTGATATTTTTGTATGTCAATTTTTTTTTTTTTACAAAGTCAATATATACAAAAGATGTTATTTGCACAATAATCACGAAACTAATTTTAGGATATTCAAAAAACCGAAAATCGATCCAATCCAAACCGAAAAAAATTGGATTGGATCGGATCAGATTTGAAAAAAAATCTAAACCGAATGGATGATTACATGATCAAACCGAAGGGATTGGATCGGATGAGTTTTACTTCCAAAACCGATCCAATCCAGACCGCGAACACCCCTATCTCCGGGCACCATGCCCTCGGGGTACGGCCCGTATAGGTTAGCCCTTCATTGTAACAATGGGTGCACTAAGCTTCGCAACCGGAGAAAGGACGAGACTAAAGATTTTCCAAGAAACTGCTTCAGGCAGGGTTTGATCCCTGCACCAAGGGATCCTTTGGGAGCTCAGCTGCCAACTGTGCTACCCTTGGGGTTAAAACACGCATATTTAATTAATAGGAATTACCGTTTCTCATTTTTTAGGAAATAATTTTATCTTCTATATATATATAAAAGCGTGTGGGGTCTATATTTTCTTGTTCTTTCTCTTTTCTTCATGGACCCCATATGGGCTCTACTCACTTTTCTGTGTGTGTTAAAGATAAAATTATTTCATACAACATAAAAAATATTAATCCATAATTCAAAATAATATAAATTTGAAATATAAAAAAGATAAAGTTAAGAATGAGATGCCTTATCCTTTAAGAAATAATAGGCTAAAAAATTAAGCTATTCTGAAAATAATATGCTCTAATTTAGGGATGTTCATCAACCTATCCAAACCGAAAAATCGATAATCGAATAAACCGAAAATCAAAAAATCGAAAATCGATAAAAAAAATCGCAAATTTTAATTAGATTGGATCGATTTTCGGATGAGTTAATGAAAATCGATCCAATCCAAACTGATCCAACCCTTCTACCTATTTAGGCCTTTCCCCAATCATGGTCCAAAAAATTCTAAACCCAAGACCTATTAACCCATCAACTAAACCCAAGAAAAAACTTAGTCACATTTCATCAACAAAATTTTATCTGTGTAGACCTTCATATTTCATTGCCAAGAAAAAAATAACTATAATATCGTTTACTTATGCTTTTGTATTTCAAAAATAAATAAATTACAAAGTCAATATATGCAAAAGATGTTATTTTCACAATAATTATAAAACAAATTTTAGGATTTTCAAAAAACCGAAAAACCCAAACCGAAAAAAGTTGGATTGGATTTGAAAAAAAATTCAAACCGAATGGATGACATGATCAAACCGAATGGATGACATGATCAAACCGAAGAGATTGGATCAGATGATTTTTGCTT